AAAAAATACCACATTTTAAAAAAATACTACGAAAAATACCATACCCCTTTTTTTGGTGAAAAAATACTACCGTAGTATTAAAAATACTACGTCTGGCAACCCTGAAGTTACTATGAATTTCTTGTTTTTCAGTGTTACCAACAAATATCGAAAGAAGAATTTAATTTTAATTTCAAAGCTTATGTAAAAAAATATTGATAAAAGGTGGACTTATTCACAATGGCTTCTGAAATTATTATACAATATATTCAGAAGCTATTAAAAAAAGGGCTGTCTAACCTAGAAAAAAGTAACCAACGAGTAAATCCTTTAATAACTAAGAAGATTATTATTTATTTCATCAAAATTTCCAAAAATCAGAAAATATCAAAAAGTGGACTTAACTGCATTGGCTTCTGAGCGCCTCAATTATAATAGATGCTAGATTTAACTCCAATCTCAATAACTGATAACTGTTACTGATAATTCTAAGATTGGTTATTTTCCAGGTATGATAGAGGAATTTTACAGGTTTTCGTAAAAAATATAGTTTTCCCTGACTATTCCCTGCTTTTTAAGAGTCAAAATAAAATTCCCTGACAATTCCAGATTTTCCCTGTTCTTCCTGACCTGTGGGAGCCCTGGTCCAATACTAGAGCAAGCTAGTTGACAATACTTGAATTCAAATTGAAACTTAGAGAAAATCTTAATAATTCACCCCAACAATTTGTAGAAACAATTGCTCATCAGATCTATTTAAAACTTTAAAATGTTAAGAATTCTCTCAACAGCCACTTATTAGTCAAATGTGGTTATGTAGGTTGAAGCTCCACATTTTTTAGACAAACAGCATTGCAAACTAGTTGCATTTATTTTCTAAACACGCTAGTATCCATTGATTTGAAGCAAGGTAAGCTTTAAACTGCCACAGAGTTAAGATAATAGAACTCTGGTTCTACTTAAGAACAGCTCCACACCTTAATAACTGTGTCAGCTTGCATTTTTATGAAATTAAATAAAGATTATAGCAAATGATAAAGTAACTCATTAAACATTATTTTATAAAAGACAATTTGAGGATGTAGTGATAAAAATGAAATAGGTTTTAATAACAAATATTAGACATTAGAAGATATTAAACAACTGAGATAAGTTTTTGTTTCATGAATAATGAATAAAAAAAAAATACTTTATCGCTTATTTAAGCATAGTACATTTTAATAATGAATTTAGCATTGTATAGACCAGGACGTAAATATAAGAGCTCATCAAAAGAGGAATAATGAAATTTTATTTTCACATTACCATTGCCATATCCACAAGGAAGTTCTCAAATAGAGTCCAGATATGATTGCTGGTGTATATTTCTTTCATTTCAACTTCTGTATCAATAAAACAATGACTAAGGAAATTAATGTACGCTTCTTTAATCTGTAAGAATTAAAATATCGTAAAAAAAAATTTGTTAAATAAATGAAAATGCGAAATAATAACTTGAGTTATGAAAATACTATGAGAAATTTATAAAATTAATAATTATACAGCATAAAAATTAAACAATTTTCCCAATTATGTAAAAATTAAATGACAAGGAAATTAATATACAATGACTAAGAAAATTAATATATGCTTCTTTTACCGTAAGAATTAAAATATTGTAAAAAAAATGGTTTAATAAATGAAAATATGAAATAATAACTAGAGTTATGAAAATACTATGAGAAATATATGAAATTAATAATTATATAGCAAAAAAATTAAACAATTTTTCCAATTATTTAAAAATTAAATGAAAATAACATAAACACAATGTACTGAAATTATAAACAAAAATAACTCATAGTAAAAATCACAAATAGTAAAGTTTTATTAGAAACCTAAATATGTTCCACTGTCACAAAAGTACAGTTTAAGAAAAACAACATTAAATTGGCAATAAAAGTTAAAAAATTAATAATTTCCAAATGTTGGAAAAATAGGGTACAGGCAGTAAGATCAATAATAATAGAATTTCTATTTTTAATGATGAGGACGTATTTGATGGATTGACTAGGATTTATGGGAGACTTTCTACATCATTGAAAATAAAAAATTTTAGTATTAATAATCTGCAACATATTTTTCAAATACTTGGTAACCACTATTTAACTTTCATCGTAAATTTAATATTGTTACTTTTTAACTGTACTTATGTGATTATGGTTATTCGGTTCTATGATAATAGAAAGAAACACACCAATTTAAATTCAAATAGAAAGAACATGTAAATACCTCAGGTAAACAATCTGGATGAGTAACTACTTGAACAATATCATCAAGTGAAAGTAAAGAATGACACTTGATTTCTGTGAATACATTCTTGCCTTCTGTGCAACAAGCCAAAAGTTTAACTAGATTGATGTGATACTGTAATGGACCGGCTTCATCCATTCTCTGTCGCTCTGACCTCATCATGGATACAAGATGGTTAAAAGATGTTTTATCATTATAAAACACTAATACATCTTCTCCTGCATTCACCATCTAAAAGAAAAATTAAAATATACATTAAATAAATAATATATAAAAATTTATGTTCTGAAATTACATTAGGAGGACACACTAATAGTGATCCCTCATTTAATATGACACCCCATTAAATGAGAAAAATGGAGTCTTTTGTTTGGAGGGGTGATTGTGAGCCCAACTCAAATATCCTGAAAATATCTAGAGTAAAATCCTTAATGACGAATTTCAAAAAATTTATGTCTTTATGAATTTAAATCATTGATTATTTTCAAAACATGAAATTCTAAATAAATTATATGCAGCATAATTTAAATGAATAATTATACATAAGTTTACTTTTATCTCTAATCACATTTATTATTCTACCAGAAAAAATATTTACAAATGAATGAGATGCCAAGTACAAAATGTAGTTCTAATATTTTTAAATAAAATATACAAGAATTTTTATACATAACTGAGATTGATGATCTTTTGAAAGTTCTGGACTTTGGATTTGCGGATTAAGGTTAGCGAAAAATTCGGAAATCCGGATTTTTGTCGTAACACAATCATCTCTGTATTTGGTACTATGTTACAAACATAATAGAGTTTTTACTTTTACCTAGTGATTTCTTCTTAGTTTTTTTTGGATTTAATAAGGAAAATCATTTTAGAAGTATGAAATAATGTTAGATATTCAGAAAGTATCATTTTTTAAAAATTATTAAAGATGTTTGGTACATAATTATTGCAAAATAGGTTTTAGCATTATTCGTTACACTTTCCAGTGAGGATATCATCATAGAAGAGATAGAAGTGCAGGAAAAAGTGAACGAATATAGTGATTCAGAATTTTTCTTCTTCTTAAAACATCAACATGTACTAGAGTTGTAAAATAATTTCAAAATCTTGAATAGCTTATTAAAGCTACAAAAAGTACAAATGGAGAAGCATCTAATGCGTAAAGTATTTCACTACGAAAATTTAATGAAACAAAATTTTGTAAAGCAATATCAATGTTATAAACAATGATAGAAAAACAATCAATGTTAATTATTTTCAACTCTCATTGAATTTGTAAGAAAATGATGAAGTATTATTAATTTTAAATGAAAACAATTAACATAAGATGTTTTTTTCCCTTTCTTTTTCTTTTTTTTTAAAATTTAATTTTGTACCTTGAATTAAGATTTAGCCTATGACAAAACTTAACAATCATACTTCTGCTGTCAAAAATGATTATTAAATATGAGTCCTAATCATAATAATTTTATTTTATTGTTCATAAAAACTAAGAACTATTACTTGTAATGGTTTTTTCTTCTCTTTTTTTTTAAATATTATTTATTAAATAGATGAAAGCATAGCTGCCAACATAGATAGGAAAAAATTCAGTAGACTTTTCGAAATATTGATTTCATGTCAACTGTTGCATAACAAAATTAATTATTTTACATATAGAGAATTTTAAGGATTTTCATCATCATTAAAATACAAAACTTACTACACTAATAACCATAAATGGTCTGCAATATCTTCCATTTATGATTGACATCAAATGAACTTAAATCAAAAACGTTATTTTATTATGTTAATTCATTATTTTGAGTAGTAATAGACTAGTATTTTCTTACTGATAGTTAAAAAAATTTTAAAATTTATTTAAAAAAAGGAGTTCTGATTAAATATAAACTAAAAATTTTATTTAAAAAATATGAAAAAGTTTTAAGATGATTACTATAAATAAATAAAACTTGGTTCATTATGTATTAGTAATACTTATGTTGAATTCTATGCCAACTGAAACCAGTAGTAGAATTCCAAGCGTAACAGAAGGGAAATCACACAGGTATTTTATCATAAAAAAGTATTAAATACACGTGAAAACAAAAAATTGTGCAATAATGTGCTATTTTAAGGTGCAATGTTTAATTAACCCACTGGCGGTTAAGCAAATGGGTAAATTTGGGAGAATGTTTCTCCCCTATACACTATTCAACTGTCTATTAACATGGAAAAACCGGTTTTGCTATGCAGAGAAGACTGCAGGTTAAAATGCGACTTTTTACGTGCAGAACCGTCAGTGGGTTAAATGGCATGATATTTCCCTGTAACTATTTGTCAAATTTGCTATATGTCCCCTCTGTTACATTGTACTTTTTGAAGTTAATAAGAATGCGTAAGCAATTTAAAAAGTCTTATAATAATTTATTTTACCTTGAAATGTGATAATTAAAAAAAAAATTACAATAATGTTTAGGATGTTCCAAATCAACAGAATATAGAGGAAATAACAGCGAATGTAAAAAATGTGGAATTTTCTTTGTCCCTTTTGTTACATACGCTTTTAATTACCTGGCAACTAAATTATAAGGCTCTTTTATTACTTTATGCAATTAAATTAAACATTGCACCTTAAAGTAGCATATTATTGCACAATTTTCTGCTTTCACATATATTTAATACATTTTTTAGGATAAAATACCTGTGTGATTTCCCCTCTGTTACGCTTGGAATTCTACTTATTTAAATATTCCAGCAAAGCAATAAATTGTGTAAAAAATCTATTTCACTAGGAATTTTTTACCAAACATATTCAATTTTAGGAAATATTCTAAAATGAACAAAAACAAAGATAATATTTATTAAAACAGTACACTAGAATAAACTAGCAAAATCCAGTTAAGTTGGCAGACATGTGAAAGAGAACAAATTAAAAATTCAAAAGAAACACAATACAAACCTCTTGCATCACTATATCTTGTCCTTTTCTGATGTATTGATTCTCAGCTTTCACTATGGTCTGAAGAAATTTCAGATACTGCACATGCCGCCCATGAGTTTCAATCAGATGAACAAAATGTTGCACAACTCTTTCATTAAGCTCATTGCACAAAGCAACATTATCCATAAATATACTTCTCATTGTTTGTGCTTCTAATAACTGGAACAAATTAATGCAATGAAAAATAGTTTAATAACACATATTGCGTTAATAAAGGCTAACAGATGTACCAATAAATATTGTACAAGTACTAGAAAAAGTTTACATGTTTTCAGTAACAACAATACTTAGAAAAGAGAGTTATAGAAAAAATTAATTAAATAATAATATGAATTAATAGAAAATGCAAAATAGCTAAAACTAAAAGCAAGGATTATAAAATTCTTTGATTAATTAAAGAAATCAGAGCAGAGTTAGTTGCATTTAAGTTAAAATAAAAGGGAGGAAAGAAGGAAACTTGAATGATTCAATAAATTGAATGTTAAGATAAATAAAATATAGATCAGTGGTTACCAGCTGGCGGCCCCCGGGCCAAATGAGGCCAGTGAAGTCTTTGTTCGTGGCCCTCGAACCAAAATATATAAGTTGTCATTGTTTTGCGGATAATTTTCGTAGAAAATCTATATGGGTTTAAAACACCTATAAGTTTTATATCTTAACAATTTGATATCTGTTGCACATTAATTGTTTAATACATAGGTGCACATTAAAGTTATTGTAGCCAGAATTTTTTCATATGCAATTAAATATTTTTAAAAATCGACTTATTTCAATTTGTAATTTAATACTTTTGTTTTGTACAACTTGATAAAAATCTGACAGTAATATTTAATGTTCCTTCAAACCTAAAAGAGTCCTATATAAAATTTTGATAAAGTTGCGGCCCACCCTTTGACTGGTGTTTTTAATTGTGGCCCTCAGCTTCACGTAAGTTGGAAACCCCTGATATAGACGATCAAACCTTTGAGTTTTAAGTCAAATATAGGGCAATCAAGCAATGAAGGTTTCATGGGTTGCTGAATTCTCAATATGATAATAGCATTTTATTGGTACCAGATGATAGATCAAGGATCACTTCAAACTATGATATAAGACCAGTTGATGACATTATTGGTGCTAAATCTTGATTTGAACTATGTTTTGAGTAATCATTTTCACACGATATTTCTTAATTTCTTACTGGCAATGCTACTTACGTAGTGAAAATAAATATAAATCTTCCAATTAGTCTACTTGTTTTTCTAACTGGTTCTGATTTCAAACTTTAAAAATCAGAAGAATTTTGTGCTGTGAAGTTAACTTAAATAATTTTGGATTGCAACTTAAACATTTTTAGAATCCTTGCCTTAGTATGATAGCTGCAGGCAATAGCTGAAAAAGGTACAGTGGAAGAAATCTCTCAAGTAAGCATTTCAAGATTTTGTAATTTATAAATTGTTAATTTGAATGAAGATATCTAGTTTAAACTAAATTACTTAATACTTTAAAAAAAAAAAAAGGGGCATTAAATTTGAAAAAAAAAAATGGCCATGCTTAGAAAACTTATCGCAACACGAAATTATTAAACATAAATGAATAAATGTAAGTTTAAACCTTATGATAAAGGTAAGGTTACTTACGAACTATTGCTATAGAACAATTTGTAACCTATAATACATATTATATCATATTTAATTACATAAATTTAATGTAATTTATTCAAGAAAACACTTTTGAAGTTATCATTAATTTCACAAGGGAGTTTGTAATCTGCGTATGATTTAGTTTAACATTAGAGAACTATCACATCAACTTTAGTTAAAAGACAAAATTTCAATGGATTTTTTACAAAGAAACATAAAGGAAGAAAAAAAAACTGTTGAATGAATTGAAATTTTTCCAAAACATGATTAGTGAATATATGGGAACAATGCAAACAGCAGAGATACAAAACCAAACAGGTAGAGAAGCACCTAAATTTCTAACAGTATTTAGTTGCACCAAGTAACAACTTGCCTTGAAAATAGTATTTGTTCATAAAGAATTACATTATTTATTTACTTTTTGAGAAAAAAAAGCCAAGTTTGAAAACGTGTACCTGCTATGAATGAGAACAAAAATCAGCTATCAAAATAAAATATATGCAGGTAATTTTTGAAAACTGAAATGCTTACTTTTGCTCTAGAAAAAGAGAAGAAATTTTTTTAAAGAAATGATGTATGAAAATAAAGTAAGGGTATAAGTGAGACAGTTTAAGATTTCAATCTAGATGAAAACGAACATGCTTTAACAAATTGATATGTAAAAAAAAAATTTTCATGCATAATATTTTTGAATTAAAAAAACTTAAAACTATGCTGAAGAAAATCTTTGCTTTCTAATAAAGACAACTTTGAAAAAAAGAAACTATTTTCACTTTCATCACAAAACTAATCAGAAAGTAAGAATAAAACTTTTAAAATAACAGTTTAAAGTATCAAGCTTTATACTAGGTGAGCTACCAACTAACTGAAAATTGATATCTAAATTAAAATTATATAAAAGCTAAGAAGGTAGTGCTCTTAAAAGTTCAGAGAAAATTTCTTCTTCAGGGTGCATAGCCAAATTATTCAACAAAAAATAAGCACCTTTTAAGCACTTTTCAAGCACTCAAAAAATATTAAGCACTTTAAAAAAATATCATAATTAGGCAGGGTTGGAAAGTTTTTGACAATTAACGTCTTGTTTTAACCATCGTGACAAAAAAAACTTTTGGTATTGTTCTTAACAATGGTCAAATATCATGAAATTTTGAATTATGTAAAACGAATGTTGTTTTCATATGCTACGGACTGACAATACGCCAAAATAGATTGGGGTTGAATTAATTGTGAAACTGCGTATTTTTGAACATTTCGAAGCAAAAATCAACATAGTAAAGGTAAAATCTCACTTTGAAAAAGGAAAAATTAAGCACTTTTTAAAAATACCCAATGAAAAAAGCACTTTTAAGGGCTTTTAAAAAAAGAAAATCGAAAATAAGCACCTTCAGACACTTTTTAAAAATGCTACGCATCCTGTTATTAGACAAATTTCTTCAAAGCTGATAGAGACAAGTTTTGTTTCCTTACATGACACATTTACCCAGATTTTTCAGCAACAGATTTGTCAAAAGAAATTTCTCTGAACACTAGGAAAATGTTCCCTTGTATGTATGTGTTGGTGAAAAAAAAAAAGAGTCTAAAACTATGTGTATTGGTTCTGAAACTACATGTGCTGAGAAAGAATGTAAAAAAAAAATACCTCTTACCCGTAGGTGGGACTAGAAACAGAAGAAAAAGTCAGAATACAAACAGAAATAAAATAAATGGTGAAAGAGAAAGACAGAAAAACAAATAAGACAGAAGTATAGAAAGATTAACATAAAAAGAATAGAGATGTACACACAGAAGAAATAAGTACACAGATAGAAAATATTAGCAAGAGTAAGTAGCACAGAATCAGAAGCACAGAATCAGAATTTGCATTTTTCTTAATTAAGTATATTTTAAAGAACTGTTGGTAGATGATGAATGTAATTATAGTTGAGAAAAAATTTAAATCATGCTTATTTAGCAAAGTTATAAAAATGTAAATCATACAGTGGTATCTCTCAATAGCCAACAATGACTGGATTAATTATATGTTTAGTCCATTATTGGAACGGTTGATTTTTTTTGACATGGCATTTAAAAATTGTAAATACTAGTTAAAAATTAAATTTTAATACAATAACAATTATTATATTTAACAAAAAAATAAATCTGGTCAAATTTCTGAAAAAATGAATTTAATAAAAGCAATCAGTCAACAGAGTTTTTTCGAAGCTAGTTCTTTTTAAGGTGATAATTTAGGACTTCATTTCAAAGCCTTTAACAGCTTCAGTGTTAATAAAATTTTAAATAGTTCTTCTTTGTAGCTCAGTGTTTCTTAAAAGTTCTATTTTTTCTTCAAAGTATGCATCATTTTCCTTCATAGAGTAATTTAAATCCTCATAAAAAAACTTCTAAAAACATTCAAGTTTTCTTACATTAAATACAAAATCATTGTCGATTTTAATGCTAGTTATATCATCTGACATTAGAATTTAAACTTGGCACAAGGCAAATAATCCCAATTACTATTCAGCAACTGCTACATTGTTCAAATTTACAAATCCACCCAAGTTTACTAAGGAATCAGCTTATCACATTAATGGTTTACCATTTTTTAGCCGTTTAGAATAGTTTTGACTCTTTGTACAGCAATGTCAAATGTTTCTGTTTTTGAAAATTTCTATCCTAGAATTTTTATTTTAATTAAATTTTTTCAGTAAGTTAATTATCTATGTTAACTCAATCAAATATGCACTACTTAGAGAGCAATTTTTTTTTTGGAAATAACTATTGCAGAGGTGCACAACCTTTTTCAATGTAGGGCCACTTGCACAGCAGGTTGACTAATGAAGAGGTGCACAAAGTCATGTGTGGGAAATTTTAGAGGTTTTATGAATTTTAAATAGGAAACTTTTTCCTTCTAAAAAAAACTCCTAGGCTACAAAAATTTTAAAACAAAATTGCAAACAGTGAGCAGTTAAAAAAATTTGAGTTTTCTTCCACTTTTCTTAATGCTTAAAATGCTAAAAAAAAAACGATCCAAACATCACTTGAATTTATGATGAAGTAGGCAACAATAAAGCAAATCAAAAAGCGAATTCTTAAATTCAAAATTCGTGTAATATTGTATTAAAAATATTGAGTTTTTTAAAACTATGCAGGATTTTGTTGCAATAATCATTGAAAGAGCCACTGTAATATAACGTAGATTTATGATAGAATCTGTGCAAATTGAGAACAACAGAAAATTATGACTCAAATGAGTAATTCAAAATTTTCTAAGTTTTTTTTATTTTTCAAAACTTCGTTTTTTCAATATATTCAGAAGTTCTAGCGGGCTGCACATCAACAGTCGGCGGGCCACCCCTAGACTATTGAAATTGAGACCTCTATTTAAAACGGATAACACAGGCAAACCTATAGGAATTGAAAAAAAATATGGAAGAGAGGTACCACTATACCTTAAAAATAAGCAATTTTATTTCATTTTATAAAAGTCATATTTGCATGCTTTACAGGTAGCATGATAAAATAAAAAGGAAAAAAATTCATATTACAGTATTTAAAAATAATAAATATCAGCAGGAGTAAATACAGTATTTTCATAAAATGTATTTGCAGATCAAAAAACACAGGTTTTTTAAAAAGCTTGTAGTATATGATAAATGTAATTTTAAGCTGAGTAAAAATGAAAATCATGCTCATCTAAAAAAGATGGAAAAAAAACATAAAGTTATACATTTAAAATGCATATTTAATTTCTTAAAAACTAAGGATTTTGCATGCTTTGTGGATGGCATGTAATAATATATAGAGATAGTTATATTAAAAAAAAAGCTTATTTTACAAAATTTGAGCCATAATTAAACGGGATTCCAGTGGAGATATTCATTCCTTCAGTTTGAGAAACTTTGAACTAAAATTTAAAATAAATCTTAAAGTGTTGCAGAAAACTAAACACAGAAGATAAGCTATTTTTTATACACAAACCACTAATTAAAAGCTATTTAAAATATTCAACAAATATTCGTAAAAAAAATTTTTCAATTTTTCAAAAAAATAAATAATAAAAATAATTAAACTTTTTTTTTTCTTTTTGAATTTCATATTTTTTTTCTCAATTTTAATTTGGTTTAGCAATGAAGACAATTTGATCATCTTATTATTCAATTAAAATTAACCACTTCTCCAAAGAACTTATGCACAAAAGGAAAAAAAAAACATGTGCATCAACCGCACCAATAGCCCCTCAAAACTGTTCACAACACTATTAAACAATAAAAAAGGGTTGCTTTGAAATTCTAAAATCTGAATTTTCAGCTAAGTCTTATATAATACTAATAAGAGCATTAAGTAGCATCGATTGCTTGTTTTATTATATTCATTGATAAATAAATTTTAGTGACTATACATAAATATAATTTTAGAGCTATAACGTAAACATTAAATTCAAATGATAGATACAGATAAATTAATGAAACTTACCCCTGGGTTTAGAAACAAATCAATATGTTTATGTAATAATGTTTGATTAGCATGGTTATCAAGGCAAAAATTATGCAAAAACTCATGAGCAAGCCTCATCAGCTCATTCATACGGATGTCTTCTTTCTAAATATATAAAGACATAAATCTATAATGCTTCACTAGGTAATAAGGTAAAACATAAAATAATCAGAATTACTTGCATCCCATATTCATAAATATATATGGGTTATTTTTCGCTCACAAGCATTTTGACATGAAAATGAGAGGGAAAAAAAAGCTGGAAAGTATGGTAATATGTGATTGGTTTTAAATTGTATTGAAAAATGACACAACTTGAGTGTCTTTAACATACTGCTTTCTTCTCCTACACTCAAAGAAAAAAAACTTTAATTTTATTCTATAGATAGAATCTTGCTAACTAGAATTGTTAGAATTTAAAAACAGTTAAATATAATAAATATAAAACTTAATTAATAACCAACATGGAAAGGATTTTTTTCCTAACATGAAAATTTCTGAAATCAATGAAATTTCTAAATTTACATAATTTAGTGAGCCCAAATAATGCAGAGATGCATTAAAATTCCAAATATAAAACATTAGATCACAGATACATTTTATCATTATCTATGACCTAAATAATCTGCGGCCTATAAAAATATTTGTGATATTAAGTTGTGTTTTTTAAAATTCAATGCCACCCTGACCCTGAAGTCCAATAATGATTATCATCGAAAATCATGGCAAGACCGCCGAGGCCGTCTAAACTAGACATTACCAAACACTCTTACTGGTAGCCAAACTCTTCCAATTTTTAGCCTTGAGGATAAAATAATCCTCCTCCACAGCATCTAACCATCTAAGTTTCAATCTTCTTGTATTAATTGGCTTAGCTGAGAAAATTTCTTTCAGAGTAATACTGTCATTCCTACGGATAAACTGCCCAATCCTGTTCAAACGACTTGTTTTTATGTAGTGAACTATACTCTTTAAATATTTAATATAATTTAGTGTTTCGTCTTCTATGCCAGATACTGTTTTCCTGAATTCAACCGAAGACACTTCTCAGGATCTTAAGATTAAAGGTGTCCTAAATCTTTTTCACCTTTGTGGTCATTCTCCAAGTCTCTGAAGCAAAAGTCAGAACAGGGCGGATGAGAGTCATATACATCAGTCATTTCGTCTTTCCAGATAAAAGGTCAGATCTAAATAAATGCCTAAATCCATAGAAAGCTTTATTCGCGTCAAGTATATGTCTCTCTATTTCAACAGGGTGCATAGCAAAATTATTTAACAAAAAATAAGCACTTTTCAAGCACTCAAAAAATATTTTTAAGCACTTCAAAATAATATCATAACTAGGCAAGGTTAGAAACCTTTTGACTATTAACAGTTTTATCTTGTTTTAACCGTCATGTAGAAGGAAGAAAAAAATTTTGGCATTGTTTTTGACAATTGTCAAAAAGCATGAAATTTTGAATTCGTTTTCAAACGCTACAGACTGACAATACGCCAAAATAGATTGGGGTTGAAATAATTTTGAAAACATTGAATAGAACAATGTGAACTGTGTCTTTTTTCATAATTCGAAGCAAAAATCAACATAGTAAAAGAAAAATCTCATTTTGGAAAAGGGAAAATTAAGCACTTTTTAAAAACACCCAATGAAAAAGCACCTTTAAGGGCTTTTAAAAAACAAAAATCAAAAATAAGCACCTTTAAGCACTTTTTAAAAATGCTACGCACCCTGTTCAAGTAAGATATCAATCAGAAAATTCTATACATGGATATAGAATAAATGAAGAAACCATTTAATTGTTATTAAACAATTTTCAGAAATAAAATTCACATACACTTTAAGAGAGTTACTTTTTTTTAATAGAATTTGAATTTAAGGCAAAACAAGCATACTATGCAACTATTACAACATGCTAGTATAACAAAAAGGAAAGCATATGAAATGTATTTGCAACCTCAAAAAAGAATAGGTATCAAATATTTATAATTTGCATATTATAAAAATATTTCAACAAATATATAAGATATACCTTATCATACGGGATTTGTAAAAGTTCCAAAATTACTGTGTGGGCACCCATGTTTCTTAACAGTCTTTGCTCATGTTTGCGAGGTTTTTTGCCAGTAGGATTTTCTTGAACACATAAACGTGTAAGGCGAAGTAGAATCTAAAAATAGGAGTTAAACGTTACTTTGCAAATCCACTTTATATAAAATTACACTGAAGGTTCTCATAAACAATCTTTAGAAAGGTTATGATGTTTTCAAACAATATAAAAAATGAAAAATCACATATTTTTAACAAATACGTAGAAAATGATTTAAAAAATACTTAAATGAAGTTATAATAGGTACTATTTCCCAATTTAGTTTATTCATATGCCCAGTTTTTGGCTTTCTAACAAAATATTATGTTTGTATACTAAACTTATTTCTTTTTAAACTAAAAAGGGGAGAAAAAAAATGTGACAAATATTTTGCAGACAATTAATTATGAAAATAATGAATCATAATGAGTATTATATTTCTAAATTTGATTCATAGCTTGTGTTTTCAGGTAATACATAATGTTTTCATATAAATTTTAGTTACTTTCTTATATAACATAACAATCCCTTACACAAATCAGAAACCTGTTCACTAAAAAATTTATATAAAATGAATATATTTTGAAGGCATTTAAAAGAAAATATTCTTAACTCAAGATAACTAAATCTAAATCAATGTTCCTTTAAAGTTAACCATTTAACTTATTAATTATGACTTAAAAATGAGCTAATCTTAATAATTCCATTATTTATGTCCAACCAAATTAATGCAACTTATGGGAAATACTTTAAAATTTCATTTTAAAAAATAGAGAAATGATAAAATTCGATGTTTCAACTGTGTTTCAGGTTATCCCAACACCCTCAAAGATTATAGTTAACAAGTTACGTTAACTATTATAGTTAACCAAATTTCTGAGAGCTCCAAACAAGTAGACTTTTGTTATCATCTATATTTTTTGAAGCTTATGAAGTTTTATATCACATTTTCAAGTTAGGGTAACATCCCAAGTTTCCCAAACTGGCATAAGTCTATTTGATGAGTGTTAAGTAACCTATAGTTATAACATCTTCATTTCTATAAACTTAATAAAAAAATAAAATATTAGAGGAATAATATTAAAAACATATTATTTAGATCAGAAATCCTCAATTTTTAAATAAATGAAGTACACACAGAATAAAATTTTTTTTTTTAAAAAAAATCTATGTATCTGTATTTCATTTATCTAAAACTTAAATAATTTTATACAGCTAAATATTTATTTTTAAGAGTTATTAAAATTGTCAAAAGCAGGCAGCATGCAAAAAATTATAAAACAAAGTAATAAAAATAATGATTTTTATCAAATAGTTTTAAATTGACTCAGTTCATGCAAGTAAAATTTAAGCTATGAGTAAGTGCCAGTTCTAAATCAAGCGAGAATTGTTATTGAAGCTGAGATTGGAAAGAAATATAAAATAAAAAATATATTTATAAATTAGAAGCATTTATTTAATTTATATATACATAATATTTTATTATCCTGGGTGTACTGTAATAATGGCCCTAAATACATATTTTTAAAACTCTTGTCAAAAAGGAGGGAAAAGGATGAATGTTAGAGGTCACAAATTAATTTAAGCAAGAAAGAACAAAAATGTTATCAAAATTGGATCACCAGTGAGTAACGTGGAGTGAAAAACACAGAGGCTAGTTTTATTGCCAGATGAAAGTTAACGCGGCTCTAATAACTGCCTTACATCTTCTCTGTAATTCCTTGGGCAATCAATAAGTTCAATTATCCTCAATTGTGATTTATTAGATTTTGATAGTGTTTTTTTTTTTCATTTGCATAAATACTAATTTCCAACTTCTAATATGTATACTTCTTTTTAACAAAATTTTCGACATGAATTCTAAACATACATACTATAAATAAGTTCTTGTGAAGTAAATTAATAGCATAAGAAGGTTACATTATAATGTTGGACAATGAAAACAAGAATGATAAATATCAAACTCATAATCTTGTTCAAAATGTTGTACCTGCTGAATAGTTTTATAATTTTTATTTTGAACTGCATCAACAGGTGGTCCAATATCCAAATCAATTGCAGATCCTTCATTTGCAGCAGGTCCTAAATCCTAAAAAGAAATTCTTTTCAACACATGAAAGATATTTAATTTGCTAATCTAAAAAATATGCCAGTTTAAAATATAGGCTGGTATTTTATTCTTAATGACAATAAATGAGGGCTGAATATTATTTATTATGCTTCAATATATTTAATCATTTGTCACTCATACTATGCTTATAGTACATTTATAATATATAAGCTTTTAGTGAACAAGAAAAAAGATGAAATAAAAAAAGAGAAGTCATGCATCAACTAATAAAGCTTTAAAGAAGCCAAATTTTTTAATTGACTAACCAAATAGACTTGTAAAATTAATTATCGACAACATATTGACAGAAACTATTTTTTTTTTTACAGAAGGCCAATTTATAACAAATGTTTGCAACACAAATAACAATAAAATTTTTTTTTAATATAAGTAATATAATTTAATTACCAAGTTACTCTTCTTTTTTGATTTCGAAACTTTTTTTCTATCTGAATCCCCATCTCCATCATCATCATTGGGCTTTTTCTTCTTGGCCACCTCCTCCATCTTTGATTTGAAGACCCATAATTCAGATTTTTCAACTAACAATCTCAATTCATCCAAGTCGCTCTTAATTTGTTTATAATTTTCAACGTCACTTGTTGATACTAGAAGTTGAACCTAATTAAAATAACAGACAATTTAAATAATCCACTAAAAATTATACCAGAACGATTTGTTGTTATCAAATACCAATATCATAGTCGCCAACTTGTATATTCGTTGAGAAAAATTTCAGCAAGTGATAGTAAAACAATAATTGATATGGAAATAAATTCCTGAAAATCAAGTTTCTTCCCAAATACTTGAAATCATAACTAATGGGTCTTAAATACATATGTTTAAATTATTTATTTCAATGGCTTTAACAAAATCCACTTACTAATCTTTAAAAGTTAAGATTTTTACTTTGGCAACAATGGTTTTTTCAGTGGGGTATTTATTCGAGAGCGTGGGTCTTCTGAGGATGCCTGCGACTGAGATGACACGCTAGTTTTTCTCTTTTCTGAAAGAGAATTAGAGAGCGGCAGCTCTAATCATCGATGAGAAAGATGGAAGAAAAAGATTAATAGAAATGGAAGTCATCAAAGCAACTCATTAGAAAAACCACTTGGCAGTGCCATGGGGGCACGTGATGTATTCTTCAACATGGACTCCTGATGCTAAATTCAACTTGATAGTGCCATGCGGGCACGTGATGCAATCTTCAACACGATTAAGGTCGTATTACTGTTAATATCTGCTTCTTTTTTTCTCCAAGTTATTGAAGGACGATAGACTTAAATGAAAATTGTTTACCCAGCCATTTAATTTTCATTTACCAATAAATATGCCACCACCTAACCTAATTTCCTAACCTGTAATTTTGTTCATCAACACTAGTTTTTTTTTAGGAATAATATGCCAACTTGAATTTCAATAAATTTTTATCAACTTTCTAAATGTATGAGTCACTCTTTACTGAAATTATTGTATTAGTTTTTTTTTTTTTTAATTTGATATGTTTTAGGTATTTTTTTTTCTTTTGGGGGGGGGGGGGGGGGGCAATACTTTTTTTTCCAGCATATGGGCACACTAAAAGCTACAAGTAATTTTTTTTTTTTTTAATAAATAAATTTGACACTTTCAGTTTGAACCTAATTTTACTTCACAATGGTAAATTTTATATCTTGTTTTAGTAATTTTTTACAATACAATCTTTTAAATTTTGATATTAATTAATTTTGCTTACTTTTATTTAACTTTCCTCATTGTACGTACGGTACAGAATTCCTTTTAGACATTCAAATAAAACAATTGCAATAACAAGACAAGTTAAAAATTTTTAAAAAAATTTTAGCATAGGCAATGCAGCTGCTTTGATTAATGCATGAATCGGGTGCAAATGTAAAATACACTTGTTCAGTAAATAGTATAAGGGAGGATTAAACAGTTTGTTGAATGGCAAGTAAAGTATGAACTACTGCAAATAACATTAATTAAAAATAGTTACTTGTTTAAAAGCTTGTAACACTTCTTGCCTCTGACTAAAATGTCTAAATAAAAGTAACAAGGCACCAGACACTAATGGAGGATAATCATGCATAGTTAAATGAAGCAGCACTCTTAAAAAGGTCCGCCCACCTTGACCATCTAAATCAATTTCTGTACAATCATCCCTATAAAGAAAGAGGTAAGTAATTTTGCCAACTATACAGTGAATAACTGGAAAAATCAAATATAAGGCAGTACATTAAAATTAATAATTCCTTAAAATACTCATATTTAAAAACCATTTAAACATGAAATTAAAAATAAAATACTTTCAGATTAACATATATATGTATGTTTGCAAAATCTGTACTTACTTTCCACCAAATATAGATTCTGCATGATAACTAATTCTTTCTAAATCAATGCCTGAAAATTTAAAATAACAAAATTGAATCAAGCAATATCAATTAATCAAATTATGTGTATATACTATTACAAAGTATTATACTGTTTCCATTAAAACATTTTAGTTTTATAACTTTTCATCATCTTAAAATTTTTTTAATCATCTTAAAAATAAAATGTTTTAAAATCATACCATTGAAAAAAGTACTAATTGATTTAATCATTTATTATACAACAGTAAAAGCTCGTGAGATTTTCATATAAATCAGCAATTTTTAATATCAATTTACACTAAACGTGATAAATATTTGCTATGGTTGTGAACACAGCTGCCGGAGATGGTAATTTCAAAATTTACTCAAATCACTAGTTCACAACAAATAAGAAAAACAGTAGATCTCTTCCTTAGAATAGCTGATTCTTGCATTCAAAATTGAGGTGTTTCTAATTTTAGTTATTGTTAATATTGAATAGATTTTAAAAAAACTAAATGCAAGTATTGATTTATAATTTATTTTTAAATTTATTTGTTTCATGTGTACAAATAAAACATTCCATGTGATACTCTATTCAAATGTAACTGCATTGAAATTTTATAGATACTATATGGTGTTCAGTTATGAAGAACTCATGAAATATAAATAGTATATGCCAACAAGTGCCTATTTCTTATTTTATTATTCCCCAATTTGATTTAAAGTATTATTACTCTTATGTATCAAATAAATTTTCAATTATATTTTGATTCTACTTATAGGTTTAAAACAAGTTAATTAAATCTGGTTTATCAGTTTCTCCTGTCACCTGGTTTACCATAATTTTTCTGTTTAATCATAGTAATTTTATAAGCATACATAATTGCCAGTTCCAAAAGAAAATTATAATTAGGTTCTAAAGATTAGGTAAGAGTATGAAAAATCTCTTGTTTACTCATTTGTCCACTAATTAATAATTCTATTTGAAGCTACAAATGTTTAAAAGGGATCTGGAAAAATGAACTGATTTTTGTAGATCTAAATAAAGGGGTAATGCAAAAATAGGAGAAAGCATAACTAATTAATAATTAACTAAAACAAATAGTACGTGGAGGTTTTAATTGATTACAAAAACATGATTCATAAGGTGACCAAACTCTCTCTCTCTCTCTCAAAAAAAGAACTTTTCCAAACTGATTTTATCAAAATTTACATAATTTTTGAAGGCGATGGCATACATTTTATTTTTAAAATTCCAGTTATGACTTATTCGTACACATAAAATCTGTTATAAAATACTTACACTACTAATTTATTAAAACAATTATAACAAGACTTATTTTTCTGCAAAAAACATATCAGATGTTTAGATACCACAACCCCTGATTGCCCAGACTTAATGGACAATCCTCTGATTTTTCTAGATTGATAAAAATTTATGACTTTTATCTGTTTGCCTAGATTTCCCAGTTCTGCGGCCTTCCTGGATTGCGCAACAGACAACAGGCGACAAAAAAATAATAACAGCTACAATTTCATTTTAGAAGTCAATTCAATTTCAAAATCAATTTAAAAGGAAGCAATTTGTCTTTCAAACATAGTTTTTATCAAGCAGAAATATAGTACTTGCAATAAATTTTTATCACAATATGGTAAGTAGTAAAAATATCTATATAGTACCTTTTTCTCCAATAGTCAATGTTTCCTCAGAAGCACTTTTATCTTGACTTTCATCAAATTCTCGTTTAAAAATTGAAAGTAATCCAGTTATTCTATAGTCAAGGCGAACATTTAAAATAAACTAGAAAAAGCATTAAAAAATTATTAAAATTGAAGTAAATTAGGAACATATTTAAATAAAAAAAGAAAAAGAAAGTAAGAATAATAGAAATGATAATAAAGAAAAAAAGACGCACCTGCAAAATTTCTATTATTTTCAGCTTGGTATCCATGACTAAAGTATCTTCAGCACCTGTTATAGAGGCTTTCTTTTGCATAGTTGCATTGACTTGCTTAGTCATACCGGATGTGCCCAACACCATATTGGTCATTACAGCACCCATGTCACCAATGGATTTCAGAACACCACCACGAGCTAAAAAAAAAAGAAGAAATTATATAATAACTCGTTTAAAAAATTTTCTCCTGACAAAACTTTTTAATTTTATAATAATTAATGAGCTACAATACAATAATTAACAAACTACAATAATTGATGATTAAAAAAACACATCATATTTTTTAAAATGCATGTCCAAAAAAAATTTCACCCATGGATTTTAGAACACCACCACGAGTAAAAAAAAAGAAGAAATTAAATAATAACTCGCTCAAAAATTTATTTCCTGACAAAACTTTTACATTTGATAATAATTAATGAACTACAATACAATAATTAACAAACTACAATAATTAACGAATCAAAATAAAAACATCATTTTTTTTAAAATGCAAACTCGAACAGAAGTGAAATGATTGAAAGTGATAATGAGAGATCTCTGAAATTGGTCATCTTGAATCTTTATCCAATGTATTAACCTTTAATTGAATAACACAATTTACAAAATACTACAATCCTAGAATTAATAAAACCTTTGATAGATTGCAATCAGAATTTAAAAATAATGGTTCTGTTAATCTTCTCCATAAAACATATCAGCAAACTGGTTATTTGAATTAATAGCATTTCCAGAACTCTAATAAAGGTACCATTGCTTTGTCGAAAATATGTTAATAATCTGCTTTTTATAACACATTTATTTAGTTAAAACACTTACAGTTATTGAAGTGGCTTATCAGTAATTCAAAGGAATGTGCCATAAAAAAATAGAGTACACAGCTATTTTAACAGAATGTAACGAACTATGGTGACCAAAATTGTAATTACGTATGTTATGATAATTTAAAGTTTTATTTGAAAATTTTCTCAGGTAGGGCACGCAACGAGGGGACAGCATTTCTGGTTTGAATTACTGAACTCTATTTTTTTTTTAGCAGAACTTAAACTGAAACTTTTATCTATGTCTAACATACAACATAAGTAATTTTTATTGATCAAAAAAAAAAAAAAAATTCAACTGGTCTAGATTATTATTTTATTGTTCTTTTTGTAAAATGCTATAACATTTTATTTTGCTAGGGAAAAAAAACACATAAAAAATGAAGACTTACAGACACATGTGAAGAAACAAAATGAAAAGAAATGGAGGAAAAAAAACTATACTTTTAAAGAAAATTTTAGAAATTAATTTAGCAAATCAATAAAATATAAATAATAAATAGAATAAAAGGAGGAGTGACATAAACAACACAACATCGGTAGAGAACTTTTGGGTTGCTAAAATCACCTGGTTTCTTTTCCTTTGTTTCTGCCACAGAAGATTCCTCCTCTTTGTCAGCTTGCAAAATAATTACAGTCATAATGTACACATGCACAAATGTTACATAAAAATTTTGAGGACGTATAATGTCTGGAAATTATTAAATATAAACAAATTTTTTTTAAAAAAAAAAGATTTAAAATTAAAGCATGCTATCTACAAATCAATATGGTCTACAAAGGACCTAAGTATTTGGCTCATCAAAATAGAGATAAGAGGAAAGTGCATAAAAGGAACCCCAAAGAGTGCCGTCTGTTTAAGTCACTCTCTGATGCAGGATCATTCAATGTTTGAAATTGAACTGTCTGTCAGCCAACCAAAATGTAAATGCACTCTATTGAAAATGTCCCCACCAGCTATTAGTAGCTTGTGATCGATGGTTTGGAGACCAACGATTTAGACAATCAGCTGCATTTTTTTAACGATCACACACCTACAAAACCCTATCATTCATGTGTGTGAAAATGGTGGTAAGGTCTGTGGATCTTAATTATTTCATAATTAAATAACTTGATCTGTGTATGGGATCTGAACCACTATTAGAGTTAATTCTTAAGCTCAGAAGTATAAACCTAATTCAAATTTTTTTTTTAAAGTCAGTATTGAATTCTACTTTTTCTAAGAATGACTTATATATCAGAATGCAAGGTAATTTTATTTGTTTCATTTATACTTATACTCATCTATATATTCTATACTAATTACAACTAAAGCAGTTTCAAGAATTATGAATGCTATGCAAAGACCATTTTCAATTCAAATGCCTGTTATAAAAAATCTTCATGAACTGATTGTTAGCTTCAATGAGCAGTTAACAAAACATAAAATTATGTAAATTTTTAGACTATAGAATTGCAATTATCAAATAAAAAATGATAAAAAAAAATCTATTTTTTAAAATCAGAAGATAAGGTACTACAAAATTATATTAGTAACTGCATATAAACACGTGAAAAAGTTAAAATTAGTGATCTACTTCTTAAAGTGAATAAAATGAACCTATATTCCATGGAAAATTATATCAACTTACCATCTAAATCAGCAGCTGTTAATTTACCATTCAAAAAGCTGGATTCTGGAACACAGTCTAAAATACTTAATAAAGTTTTTGTGAGCCGTAAAAGATCACAGAAACTGTAGAATCCAAAATAAATCAATTCACGAGCCAACTTCACAACCTAGAAAAGAGTAATTAATTTTGAATCAAAAAAAAATATTAAAAATACAAAATAAACCAATAAAAAAATTTCAAGCGATAAGTACCTCTTTTAATTGATTATAAATATTTTGAAATATTTCAGATTCATAACAAATTCTCTAGAATTCTCCATTTGCCACAATGCTAATATTTTACCAATTCAATTTTTTTTAAAATTTACTGTCAGATATAGAAGAAAAATTTCTAAGTAAACAAAATAACAAATTTTTTTAGAAGAAGGTAAAATAGTTTTAAAAAAGGATTGAAAAAAGGTAAAGATAGTTTTGACATTCTTTACTCTATTTGTTGCAGATTCATTTTGAGAGACACATTTTAACCATAATTGCAACAAAAAAAATTAAATAATAATAACCTTTCATCTAACTTAATGATTGCAATGCACTTATATCATCAATAAGATAAAAACTGTGCTACTAAAAAACATAAATTGAAACAATTTTATATTATTATGAATTCTCTTTAGAAAAGTGTTAATTATACAATAATTATGTTTCTTAAATAATAATTATGCTCTTTGGACTGAACAAAAACTTCGTAAATAACAGAACATTGCTATAACAGGAACATGAAAACTAAAACTTTAATGCGTCCAAATTAAATTATATTTTGTTAAATACCTAAATATAATCTAAAATTTATTTAACATGGAAGAAAAACTTACTATTTTAATTAAATCTTTTGTTTGTTTAACCTTTTTTTTTTTGTCTTATGGTCAAAATTTTGCTTGTAAACAATTTATTTATTTTTTAAAAATTTTCATATAAAATTCTGAACATGATACCGAATATAGCGTTATATCTCTTTAAAAGCTTTTAAGTATTGTAATTGTATTATAAAAATTGGAAATTTTTAATAAATCATATTACAAACGACAGAAAAATTTATAAATTATATCAAATTCCTGAAACTAATAAAAAATTAAAACAAAATATGAAAATGGAACTGAAATAAATGCAAAAAATACTTCATAATGTAAATTTTAAATGTATGAAAAATAAGGTAATTTAGCCTTTTATTGCTCATTAAAATTAAAATTGCTCAAAAACTCAAAGCCTATGTGTGGAATATTGACAGGTTAATGGTTAACAAATAAGTTTGTCAAAGCTGTAATAAGGATATACAAACAGCTGCTTATCTTATCAAGATAACCAAGTTATTGATTTTTAAATGTAATAACTTTAGAATTCATTACAATTTAAAAATCAATACTCACTTCAAAAGTTAGCTTATTTTGTTCTCTGTCGGCAAAAGACCACATATGGCCAACAACATTGCAAAGGTAATCTTCTACAAATGCAATAGTGGGAGCAAATTTAGCTCTAACTGCTTCTTTATTAGGATCTGGATGTTTATTAGCATCATAACTGTAAAAGAACAGAAAAAATTTATAATGAGGTAAACATTCTGATACAAAAATAAGGACATTAAATAGTTCGAGTTTCAGATACATACTCTTGAATTGATAATTTACGAGTTATATCTGACCATAGTCGAGCATATTTGACTGGTGTAATTTGTTCTTGTGGATCCCTGTCGACATGCATATGTAACATCAATCTGCAAAATGCAGCTCTCAGGTCAAAAGGTAAAGTCTCATCAGCCATACATCTGGAATGAAATCGTTTCATTAAATATATACATAATTAAAGTATTTGATGGTAAAAAGAATTTTCAAGCATAAAAGAACAAGATCATAAAATGAAGTAAAATTTTCAAATTCTCTTTACTTTTGAATGAGATCAATGTCAAGATGAGGAGACAAATTATTAATGGCTAAATACTGTCGATCAAGGCACATTCCAGAAAATAGGTCTAATTGATGTCTAAAATGATAAAAAAATGTCCATTAGCATGCTAGAAATATTTTTCAATAAATTCCATACATAAATAAAAAACATATAAAATTATTTGTGAAAAAACATTTAAAATTATTTGTGAAAAAACAATTAAAATTATCTGTGAAATGCAGAACTTCATAAAAAATAAAATTACTATAATATCAAAATCAAAAATGACTATAATATGCCAAACTGAGACAACACTATTACCTAACAAAAAAAAAGTAAACAATTGAAAAAGAAGGTAAACAACAAAAGAACTAAAGAGCGTTAGGGTTCCTAGGGGTTGTGGAATCACTATTTACCTACAAAAGACAAACTTTATAAAGGAATCATGTCCTTAAATGCAATTTAAAAATTTCATTAATATACTTTTAAAATTTTATTTCTTTCCTTCCCATTTATCAAAACAAAATTTTGAACAGTCAATTAAAATATTTTAAAATTTTTTAACTTTCTTTTGTAAGTTACAAAAACATTTAAATATTTCTGTCCCTCCCAATTTCACATGACAGTGTCCTTTATAGTTATTTGACACAATTTTGGGAAGAAGGAATATGTAAAAGAAAAATGTCAACACTTTTTGATTCACAAATCAGTAAATCTACAAAACAGCAGGCCTGCAAAGAACAATGAAGAACTAAAATTAACTATAAATTAGATGGAATTTAAATAATCTTAGAAACCTGTAAAATATCAACAATCGATTGATAAACCAGGTTTAAATTGATAGGTTCTATGACAATTGTTCCTACTTTATATTACATACATTTAGTGAAACCTGAACTTGTTGTAACCAATGTCAAGTGGACATTTCCTTTAAAAATAATTTAGTTTACAGTAAACAATTCAAACAAGAAGCAAACTTTTTGACAGTTTTTAACCTGGTCCTTGCATTTATCTTTGCTTGGAGTATGACAATTCTATTACGTTTATCGCAACAAGAGGACTATATTCAGAATACTTTATAGCAACCAACTTCCTTATTTAGCTACTACATTTTCAAGGGTCTGTCCAGATATTTTGTAAAAGGTCCTGCTTTTGTAAAATTGTGAAAAAACTATTCATAATTTGGGAATATAAAATAAGTGTTAAGTCACATTCTTTCAACCATCGTCCTGCTTTTGTGAATTTGTGCAAAGATGGTCCTGTTATTGCAAAAATTGCTAAAAGCCTTTTCAAGATTCTGCTCAACAATTACTGCTACTAAATTAGAGATGCAACATACAAATATTTGGTATTTAGCCTATACTGCTCAACAAAATCAGTTCATTTCGGACGAATAATCGAAGCAAAATCACTCATATTTTTAATAATTTCAATTGGCATATTTTAAATAACACAACTTAGTAATATATCACTTTTAATGTGTTACACATTGAGTAACCTTAAACAAGTCTTAAATTTTTAATATTTTAGTTAAAAAAGTGCCAGAAATTAATTTTTATTTACATAATATTCTATAAATTAATTTTATGAATAAATATAAATTGATCGATTATTTATTAACAAAAAAAATTATGATTTAATTTTAATAAGAATGCGCACACGGCGTTTGTAAAAGTAGAAATATTTTTTTAGAATACTACATTTGAAATTTAAACTTCGGGAAACTTATTTTGTCTTGAAACGTCTTTCTTTCCCCTCCCCCGGAAAGGGTTTTGCCGATTAACAAGACAATAATGGAGATAAACAAATTTGTGAAGGGTCCACTAACGGACCTAAATTTCTTCTAAACAGACCCCTGATTTTACTTTCATTAAACTTCATAGCAACCATCCTCTTTATTTTGCTACTACTTTATACTGATTTCAGACCCTGTGATACATATTTTTATTGATATTGTAATACATTATTTAAGTACATGAAAAAGAAAATTCCTTCTAATAACTTCTAATTTTTAAAAGGTTCTTTTGAAAAACAGAAATAAGTACCTGTAATAAGAAAGAATAGATTGATCTTCTTTGTTACTATCAGCAGCACCAGATGCTAGCTCCCGAACACTTTTGCTTTTACGACCATTATCCCAAAAAAGTACTACATCTTCTTCTTCTTCGATGGTAACCATTGGCTCTACTTCCCCACTTGTACTTTCAACCTCAACTTCGACTTCCAGTTGAGTTCTAACCATTCTGTCCACAAAAATAAAAAAGTAATTAAATGAAAAGACGAATATTTCAGCTTCTATAAGAAACTTCTTTACATCAACGCAATGCATAATGTAATTAATTTTTTAAAAAAAGTAATAATAAAGTCAAACAAACCTAGTTTCAATGAGGATGTCTGAATTTTTAGGGCTTAAAACAGCTTTACAGATAAGTTCTTGTGTAATAGGAATTGCAACTTTATTAGAAATACAGAGATCAGATAAATAGTCTAAAAATCTGCAAAAAACACAAAACAACAAAAATATTATAAATAATTTTTCTTAAACCTCAAACGTCTTATATAGTTTTAATACATAATGGAATAAATTTTGGGAAAAGTTTTACCCATTAAAAAATAAATGTTACAAATCTATAAAACAGTGGAACTATAGCCATACCGAGCAATAATGTGCTCGGTATGGCTATGTTTAAATGTGCTGATTTAATTCGGAAATTAAAAAAAAAAATATTTATTTCAATAAACAATTTTAATTAGACCATTAACATTAAGCTTTGGAGCAGTTAAAAAAAGGTAAACAATTCAAGCTTGGGAAAAAATAATATTACTCATACAGACATCCAGACAAAAAATAATATTACTCTTGATATTAAAAGAGCAAAAAGAGGATGTTTGCTTGAGAAAATTGGTACAAAGAAGCTTTTTTTCTTTTTACAGACATATTTCAAAAGCTAAGAGTTAGTAACTTGTTAATCATTTTAATTTAAATCTCGTATATAATTTTTTTTATTATCACTCACAAAACAGTCACATTATTAGCTGACTATCAATTAAAAAGAAATATTAATAGCAATAATTCACAATACAGAGTTACAAGATTAAGATATTACTGCTATAATCATAAATTAGTGATGAAAAAAAGCTGACATAGCTTTACTAAGGAGTTGACTGGGTATCTTTTCTTTGTTTTAGATAATTTGAAATATAAAATATTTCTTAAAATTGACAGCAACTTTTCTGAAAATTTTGACAGCAAAAACAATAAAAATTTAGTTTGCATATAAATAGAAACAATAATAATGATATTATGAAACACTAATACACTCCCAAATAGAAGATTAAACTCTTTACCACATTTTAATATCTTAAAAAAAGAGGAAAGAGTTCAAAAATGGGGTTAATGCAAGTTTCATTGGACTCTGGGCTTTACTGAAAAGCATATTTCTTACATTAATGTCAACATTTTTCTTACATCTATATTGAGATACCCATGCCACAGGTCCTGGGTTCGATCCTCAGACTGGGCAAGGTTGACTCAGCCTTTCATCCCTTCAGTGGGTCGATAAATGAGCACCAAGCATGCTTGGGAACTAAACACTTGGGGTTCCGCATTAGGCTGACCACCTGACCGGAATATCTGCTCCTGCACCCCAAGGTCAAGAAAACTGAGATGGGCACAGAAGGTCCTGGCCCTCTATGGGCTGTCGTGCCACTGAGTTTAGTTTAATTTATTGAGATTACATTACTCAGCCTATTTATGAAATCAATTGCATTTCTGATTAGTTTTGGTGGATAAAACTGTATAAATTCTTATTTTTGAAAAAAGTTTACAGTTGATAAAAAATTAATGCAATAAAAATATTTACATAAAGTTGATAAAAAAAAACTATGCAGATACAAATAGCACAATTTCTAAAAAATTTTTGATCATGATAGCAGTTTGGACAGATGATATTTTTCATAAAAGTATTTGTTTCTTCAGAAAAAATATGTCAGTGAGTGTGAATGTTATTTCCTCGAAGATATCATGCCAGCAAGTCTAATCTTTTTTTTTCAGGAGTATAGATCATTTTATCAACAATGCATAAAAGTAATTTTAAACAAAGCTTAAACAATGATAAAAAAGAGTAATTGGGAATAAGTGAACCTGCTCTCACGATTTTTGCGCACCAGGCTGACAAATGTTTCGATTTCAGCGGCAGTTATATGCTTTTCCAACAGTTTACGATTACTATGAAGTAAAGCTGTAATTGTATCCTCAGCCAACACATCATAGCCAATTTGCTTTTGCATAAAACCAAACCATTTTGCTATATATTCCTAAAAAGGAAAAAAACAATTTGTATGCAATATACAACATATGTAAAGCTAACTAAAAGTTATTCTTGTGTAGAATACATTAAGTCAGAATACATGTTTGTTAGGCTAGTTCTAGAGAAATAAATTGAGGAGTTTTATACCTGATTTTTTCGATAATCTTGCTGGGATAATCTTAAAATTCTGTAGCATAAACGACAGATATGCTTAAAAGGAGCATGTCTGGGGTCACTTAGCTCTTCCATTCGTAATATCGGTCCATCACCACAATCAACAAATGGAGCTTGCAATATTTTAAAAAGCTATAAAAATTAAATATTTTATTGCACACAATAATTCCAGAATTGAAACAAGAAATATATTTTTATATTTCAGATTAAAATACTAAATTACATGAAATTATACTTAGGCATAAACAGGGTTTGTAGCCAAATTATTCAACAAAAAATAAGCACTTTTCAAGAACTCAAAAAATATTTGTAAACGCTTTAAAAAAATATAATTAGGCAGGGTTGGAAAGTTTTTGACAATTGACGGTTTTATCTTGTTTTAACCGTCATGTCAAAAAAATAATAATAATAAAATAAAAAAAGAACACAAAAAAAAAACTTTTGGCATTGTTTTTTACAGTTGTCAAAAATCATGAAATTTTTAATCATGTAAAACAAATGGCGTTTTCATACGCTACGGACTGACAATGCGCCGAAATAGATTGGAGTTGAATTCTGAAAACGTTGAATAGAACAATGTGAACTGTCTTCTTGCATAATTTGTAGTGAAAATCAATATAGTAAAGGAAATATCTCATTTTGAAAAAGGGAAAATTAATCACGTTTTAAAAACACCCAATGAAAAAAGCACCTTTAAGGGCTTTTAAAAAATGAAAATTGAAAGTAAGCACCTTTAAGCACTTTTTAAAAATGCTATGCACCCTCATAAAGATGGAAACCCTGAATTGGTCCATAAAATTGTTAACATTTGTACAGTACACACAAAAATTAGTTTTATAAAATATTTTTTTTAATATAGCAATAAAACATTAACAATTTGTATTCAATAGTATGAGCAATATGTACCAATGACTCGAGTTAACTTGATAATAATTCATTTCAGAAGAGTACATACAAGATGCTCTTTTTGGCAGGTTTAAATTCGGTGTGTAGAAATGTCAGTTTTTCTCATATCCAGCGGATGGCAAATTTTTAGGAGTTTTGAGAAAGTTATCATGAAAACTGCCAATCTGACATGCAGCCAATTTATTTAGAAAAGAATGACTTTTCTAAATAAAATGTTTTTGTACCATTAAAAATACTTTTATACCATAAAATATTTTTGTCTGTAATACATACACATTATCTTGTCTTAATAACACAGAATAAGCATGCATGCCAATTTATTTAGAAAAGGATGACTTTTCTGATATTAATTTTTGAAAATAATATTTATCTTCTAAAAAAAAGGGGGAACTAATTCCGAAATTATTGTGAGTACTATCCAAACAGTATTATGAAAAATATTATAGAGCACTTTCTGCTGGTTTAAAATGAAAGCTGGTTTTAAATTAGTAAACTTGAAGAACTAACTCCCATACAGGTAGACACATTCAATGCCTATTTAATCATTAGATTAAATAATTTTCTCTCACATAGCCTCTATTTAATAATTTCCATAACTTATTTAGAAATTAGTTATAAACTAGAGAGTAAAACTTACAGCAAAAAGCAAAAAAATTAACAAAAATACTTTTTGTCACAATTATACCCAAAATAGCTCTAAATTTGGTGTGTTGTCCCACAGAAAATACATTTTATTCTGTTATATTGTCATGAAATAAAGGAGACATAAAAAGTTACCTTTTTCCTTCCCCATAAGTGAATGTATAGGATTGTATTGAGAAAGTTACATAACCATGTTTTTTTTTATTTCTCTCTGATTTCTCATGTTTGATTAAATATATCTATATGATTTGATCAAATGTTTCATATTGCAGTGTTGTACAATTGATTAGATTAAATTACTTATAAAAAGTAATTAGATGCTAGACAATATAATAAATAGTCTAAAGAGCAGTATTAAGATAAGTAGCCATATTTAATGTTTGTTTAGAAAAGAATGAATTGAACTGTAAGTTACATGTGATTAAATAAGTTACATGTCAGTTACGTAAGATGATATTTTTTGCTATACTGATTCTTAAATTATAAAAAGTGATCCAAATAATTTTTCACCACATATCTTTAAAAATGCAAATTTATTCAAAACCAAACACAAAAGAGTTTTATTTTGAAGTTATTGAGAATTAAGAAAGATTAAGTAAATGCAGTACTGGTTTTACCTCAAAATAACTTTAGAAATTTGGTTCTCAGAAACAAATCATAAAATATGTTTAATGAGATTTCTAGAAAACTTGAATGTGCAGTTATTTAAGCCAAAAAAGATAACCAAAATTTCAGTAGTTCAAATATTTAAGAAAATTAGCATTCTGATGTAAAAAAAACAAAATATTAAAGGGAGATTGTAAGTCAGGCCTTAAAAGCATTTAAAGAATTTATTAATATATTAACTTTAAAAATTGTTAACGGATAGTAAAATATTCGTTAGTAAGGAAATTTCAATCGCAAAAGACCATTTTAACAAATAAATTTAAAAAACTGAGTTCAAATAAGTTAACAAAACTGAACAAAGCTGATATTTATAACTCAAAATTATACTTGGCGTGTAACAAATTAAAAATAAATATATATATATTTACTTGTTTAAGAATATTTTGTTCTCGCAAAAGCTTCTGACGTTCCCGGTTTGGATGTGAAACCACAAGATCAAAAGGGTCTGGTTTTTTCGGATCATTTTCCTTCATCGCAACAAAGTAGATAACTTCATGCAATAATTGTGTGACAAACCTAAGGGGAAAAAATATATATATATTTTTTTTTTAAACAAAATTTAGTATAAATAATACACAAGTTCAACTAAACTTCAGTATATAAGAAAATAGCAACAAATAATGATAACTTATTTTATTATAAACATCTTTAAGCAAGTTTGTATGTATATTTTAAATAAATTTCATAGCATCAACAACTGGAATTTACATAAATGAGTTAAATAAAACTTAAATTAACAGCAAACAAAATACTTAAATGCATTTTAACATTAATACCTGGTATCTACAAGACAGCAGCAAATAAAATTCAGGGCAACACTACAAGGTGTGAAATATTTTAATATAAAAAAAGCAGTCTCTCTCTTCTGCGAAATTCAAAAATTTTAACAAGTTCCTACAATTATCTATTGTTAAAGATATGTATATCTGATTACAAATAAAGAAAAATCATAGAACCAATCAAGATATATAATCTTTTCACAAATATATGAACATTGACTTGTCTCTTACTTATTCAAATAGATAATGAGAAGTCATATTAATGACTAAAACCATACATTATCTAAGATTTAAAAAAGAAATAGAAACCGAAAGAACATTATCATATCAGCTTAACTAATCAAATATGATTGAATGAAAAAAATAATTCAAAAAGAAAAAAAGTGATTCCTTAAAAATATACCTTCTCTCATTTTGAATAATTTGCCCTTTCTCTAAGTTGCCAGATATAGAATCAAGTACTTTACAAGCATCATTTGCAAAATCTAAATCTCTAACTTCAGTAGCAGAAACAGGGACGATTGCAAAAGCTTCTTTATCTTCTTTTATTGGAGCACATCCCACCTATGAAGGAAAAACAAATCAATCTATACATTATAGAGTAAAATTGTCCATATTATTATAGAATTTAATATTATACTAAAAAAAATAACCTTAAAACATTGTTTTGCAAAATAATGTTTTTTGTTTTCAATAAGTTTCAAATTTAAACAAGTTTCAATCAAAATAATAATAATAATAGTAATATTGCTATGTCATTATAAGTTATTTATTATTGGAGCACAGTTTTTTTCCATTTTAATTATGAAATTAATGTGAATTTTAATTTATAAAATACTACACAATTTTTTTAACAGTAAATTTCAACTCATTCAGCAAAAATTTAAAATCAATGACATACTTTTGACATAACAGGTCGTTCTTCTTCTTTATCAATTGGTATAGTCGTGCTATGCACCCAAGTGTTGGTACATAAATGACGTAATCTCACATATGAAGATCTAAAAGGAATTAACAGAATGGCATAAAGAAAAAAAAATTATTAAATAAGTAAGAAAATAAAAACTTTTCATCACTTTGTAAGGCAGTTAAATTGCACTATTTCTAAAGAAGAATTTAAAATAAAATATTGATTTGTACCTGATTTGATTTTGAACTACATTCTATTAGAAATTCATCCAAAAAACGTATGTGAACATTTATGAACAATGTTGAGAAAACAGCAACTTAGGTTTCAGAATTCCAAAATATTTTGAGCATTTTCACAATATTTTGAATTAAAGAAGTCACACTGTCTTCTATGCATACTTTTTAACCGTACTATTGAAACATATGTTATGAGACATGAATTTGGCAGATAAAATAGCAAAATTGTGAAATATTGCTTTATTTTTTTCTTAAAAAATATAGTTCAGAAAAATAATAATTTTTACGTAGCAAAACTGTGAATTATTGTTTTTTTTGGGGGGGGAAATAATATAGTTAAAAAATAACACTAATTTTTATAAAAAAGATACATGGTTCTGAAAATATATCATTCACTTGAGCAAAATGATACATTCCTCACATTTTTTCCTATAAACGGCATAATACTTAAATTACACATACATCTAAGGAACCTGTCTGAAAACTTATGAGTAATTGTCTAAAATAAATTAATCTGAGATTATGAAGACATACACCAACAAAATATAACATTCACACCACAATAAAGTCTATGATGAAAAACTATTAGCATTTTATTAGATATTTGAAATTTTAACTGAAAAGTAAGAATTTTAACAATATCTTCATAAATAACAAAAGCACGAATAAAAACTATGAAAAAACAGCATGCAGTATATTTTGTTAAAGTGCAATTTTATATAAAATAAACAACAGGGTGCGTCGTCAAATTTTTCAACAAAAAATAAGCACCTTTTAAGCACTTTTCAAACACTCAAAAAATATTTTTGAGCACTTTAAAAAAATATCATACTTAGGTAGAGTGAACAAGTTTTTGACAGTTAAAGGTTTTATCCTTCCTGTCAATAAAAACTCTTGACAGTTTTTTACTATAGTCAAAAACCCAAAATTTTGGCGTAAGGATATTACCTATTACACGGGTGATTGTGAGCCCAAGTCAAAATTCCAAAAAATTTCTTGACTAAAAAAAAAAAAATCAAAAAATTGGAAAAAAATTTTAACAAGGTTTTTTCCTTTTTCTCAATATTTCTTAGCTTACTTAAAATGTATTTAAAATTTTACACATACCTATACCATTTACACATACCTACGATGACCTGGAGATAAGAATGGAAAAGTAATTGAAATTTACAAATATGTCTTTCTTGAGTTTATGATTATAATAACTATATACTGATAAAAAATGAATATTATTCTTGAATATAAGCTTATCTGGCTCTCCCTTACAAAAAATAAAATAAACTTTGTTTTTAAGTTCCACCTTTGAAAATTTGATTTCCGGAAACTTTTGGGATCAATGATTTTTTGAAACGTCTAAACCTTTGATCTGCGGAAACTTCCGGGCGGAAATCCGGATTTTTTCAGGAGCACAATCAGCCCTACTGTTATAAATATGAAGTATTTTTAAATTATCAATTTAAAAGTAACTGAATCCTGAAATTCAGAATATCTTGTAAAATACAGCAAAGTTGCACATGAGAGTGGAAGAATCTCACTGAATCCAGCTCAGTGTACGCACATGCGGACCCGCAAGTATTTCATCAAACGAATGGCGTTTCCATATACTCGTCGGTCCGTACCGACGACACACCGAAATAGATTGGGGTTGAATTCATTGTGAAAACGCTAAATAGAACATTGCCATTTTGCATAATTTGTGGCCAAAATAAATATGGTAAAGAAAAAATATTTCATTTTGGAAAAGAGAAAATAAAGCACTTTTTAAAAACTCCCTATGAAAAAAGTACCTTTAAAGGCTTTTAAAAAACGAAAATCGAAAATAAGCACCTTAAAGCACTTTTTAAAAACGCTACGCACCCTGAATAAGTTTACAAAATTACAAATCAGAGAGAAATTTATACAGTTGAAAATAAATAAAAATTGAGGTTAAGATTGTTAAAATTTAAGGAGATAAAAACAATATAAGAAAATCTCCATACTGAGGCACTAAATCATCTCCTCTTGAAAGAGTTGTTGCATCAAGTTCAAATATAGAAGCTATATCAGTAGAGTGTGGTACAGCAACTAAGCTAAACACCTGATTATTTGACAAACCCCGTAATTTCGATCTCATGGCATCAACAGTGTCATCATTATCTACTTCAGCAGCTAAATAATGTCCCGTTGCTAAATGTTTAAATCTGAATAAACTGTTCCAGTGACCAGCACCTCCTCTGCAAGGGTCATGCTGTACCACCTAAGAAATAATGATTTTTTTTTAGAAATTACAACATAATTTATGCCTAACATGGCTTTAATAAAACACAAAACCACTTTTTCTAGATATTTTTAGCCATAGTGTAATGAATAAAAAAAATTTTCTTGATTTTTTTTCTTTTTTGATTTTTTAAGGGAAAAAAACAATTAACAAGAATGATCTGAATTGATACATTTTTATAAAAAATTACATTATTCAGTTTGAAAAATATTGTCGAAAGACATTAGTGTTTTCTCACATTTGTAAGGTAATGTAGTCTACTACAAATCTAGTCTATGTCTAAGGCAGCCTCATAGATGCTCTGCATAAAAAATGAGAGCTTTAGTTTGAAAAATAAAAAGTACATTTTTTCTTAGTAATGCACAAACAAACTACGGAATTAGAGAAAAACCAAAATTTTAACCAAAAAATAAATTTTAATTAACCATAAAATCAATTTACTTGTAACTATTAAAATATGCATTCATGTATTTTATATTTCTTCTTATTTACTAATGAAAAATAACATTCTACAACTTTAATTGCTTTTAAAAAAAAATCATAATTTTAAAATAATAAGAATTACGATTATTACACACTTATGAAAAAAAATTACTAATGATAATACATACTTCAACTTCCCATAAAGCTTTGGAGCTGGTAGCAGCAGTAGCAGTAGTACGACCAGTTGAACGAAGAAATACATATTGAGTTTTTTTATAATCATCCATTGTTAAAAACTTCTCTTGCTCGGCGTGAAATAATCGAACAACATCTCCCTAAAATGGTAAATTTCAGTTTTAAATTCAAAGTTATTAACTTTTCATAATAGGGTGGTAAAGTAGAAAACAACTCAAAAAGTAGAAATAAAAATAATTAATTTGCAATTTTTGCATTGAATTTTCCCTTTTATTATACCCTAGCTTTTGATATTCTCTTTCAGGAAAAACATTACTTGCACAATGTGGATAAATTTAAAAGTTCTTTTAATAAATTAACTAATTTCATTTATTCAATCATTTATTGATTTTTGATGCAAACATTTGAAACATTAAATTAATTAAAACTAATAAATAAATAAAAATGAAACTTACGCCTTTAAGAACATCATCAATATTTTCCTTATACTCCATAAAAAGTGATATTTTCCAACTTGTATTCGAATTTACAGCATTAACCTGCGTAAATATGGAAATATAAGTAGAAGACAAAATTGCTTAACAAAAATAAACCCTACCGAAAAGAAAAAAAGACTCAACAAGTTATTTTTAACCTTAGAGGTGATAAAATAAACTAATCTTTTTAACATATCTAATATTTGGGGAAAAAATCTATTGTCTAATCTAATCTAATCATACCTATCATTTTACACATGTTTTAATATGATGCAATTTTTTAATGCGATAGAAACATGTTCAAACTATTATATAACATGATACTATTTTTCCTGAAAAAACTCTTCAAAAAATTGACAAAAGGGAAACATTTATATTAATATAAATGCACAAATTTTTTTTTACTTCTATGTATATCCCTTTCACACTAAGTAGCAATTGTAATATTTTAAATTATACCATACCCTTCTGTTTATTAAATGATTAGAAATAATTTTTTTCACATTTTATTATGGATAGTCAAACATTTTTGGACTCTGCGCTTTCCCTTCATTAAATAACCCATTCAAACAATAATTAATTAAGCTATTGCAATCAATGTGATTTTAATTGCTAACAATGAATTTATTAATATTAATAGCATGGATACATAATATATACATAATATGGTGATATATACACATCATAGTGATGTTTGAAACAAGGAAAAAATTTGATGTTAATGTAAAGCTTGATTTTAGAAGGAAAAAAAATTCGAAAAAAATAAATCCTTTTCTTGGAAGAAAATTTTATTTTAATAAATATACTGTAACATTAAAAGTATTATTTTGATGCACATACTTACAACTTATTTTGATTTTTAAGTATAAGTATATATTTTGATGTAGTAAAGATTTTTACCCTGTTGCATAATAACTTTTTGAGGTGGAAAAAAACTTCTTGTTCTGCTTTTTCCATATTATTTCAACCAAATAATAAAATTAAAATATCCATAAAAGATAAAATAAAAACAATTGGCTCACTAAACAGTGGTTCAAATAGGATGTGAAAGAATAAACAATTAAAACAAATTAATAAATAAATAATGGAAAACCAAAGCTTCATGGTTTACAATTTTCAAGCAATGATAACAAATAATCAATTTTGAAAGTTAACAAAACGAAACTGAATTTCTGAAAACAAAACAAAATTTTGGAAAATTTAACACCAATAATATTTTTTTAAAAAAAAGTTTATGTTTTTAAACTCACTTCTTTGCATCCTGGATTATCCTGGAGTTCATAATTACTAGCATGTAGAGGTTGCCCAGCATTTACTGGTGTTAAAACGACTTTGTCTCCCACAACAACCTAAAAATTGATTTCATTATACCAACAGTAACTACATAATTAAAATATTTTTGATACTACGTTATTTAAATCAAGTCATAGTTAATGATAGGGAAAAAAACATACATTATCTCCTGTTGATCTCAGTTTATAAAAAGGCACAATGTAAAACCAAGAGCCTTCATTGCCAGCAGAATCTAGACAAACTCTCATTGCATTTTTTTCTAAAAGTGCAGGCAATCTTTTATTGACAGTCAGATACTTGTTGCTCTTCAGATGTAATAACTACAAAAAGAAATAAATAGATATATTAGAACTCCTTTAATGAAAATACAGAAAAATATTATATATTTTCATTTTAGCATACAATAAGTAATAAAATAAAGAGATGGCATGTGGTACGTCCACATGTGTAGAATTTAATTATGTTTGTCCTATATGCAACACATATGTTAAGCATAACATACATATTAATGAAACTTATCATTTTAAATTCCATAAGAGCAGAAGACTATCTTTGTCCTGATATAAATTACAGAGAAAACAACTTCATAAAGATAACAAATGGAAATAAATCAAGATATACAGCCGTTTCGATAAAATTAAAAGGCTTTAAGGAATACCATTGAGTCTAGCATTCATTTCTTTTAAGTTTTATCTTGTTTTTTTCTCAAACTTAAAATTTTGAGTCTTGTTCAAAAAATGTTTAAAGATAGGCAATGATTGTTTCTGCAATTAGCTGCAGATAAACTCTTACTAGTATCAGTGTTCTCCCTAAGTGTTTTTAGAAGGGCAGTCCACCCTGCCTGCTCTTTGATCCCTATAAATGTGCCCTCTTTGTCCTTTTTGTAAAAATAAACGGCCAGCGATAAATAACATTGCCTTTTTATTCATATTCCATTTAAAAATAATAATAATTCACTGTTTAAATAATAATTACATACTAGCAAAATTATCTGTGCCTATAGGCTTTATTCTGCTAATAAGTTTAATTTATAATATTTACTTTGTTAGGGTTTATTCTAAACTCATTAAATGTTTATAAGTATCTCAAAGGGGGAGGAATAAGAGATACTTATAAACATTTAATGAGTTAAATGTTTATAAGTATCTCTTAATACTTATAAACATTTCTTCTTCATTAATAAATTTTAGAATTATTTCTTAAATATATACCTATTTTTTAAAAAAATGCAACTTTAAATGTTTATTTCCTCACAATTTTTAATTCAAATTAATATAAAAAGCTTTCCAAGTTGTTTATCAATTATTATTATTTTTTTTTTTACTTTTCATTTTTTTTAAAAAAATATTCAGAGATTGTCTTTTTAGCATGCTTTTAATTATTTTTATAAACTACAAATTTTCTCTTACCTTCATGAGAGAGAATTATTTTTTGAAATACACACATAAAATAATATAAGGGGGTAATTTAAAAATTGTTGAGGACCAAATTCAGTATCTCACACATAGACATAATATTACAAATTTTGATAAATTTTTACAGTGTTGTTCCCTTTTCTGAGAGGCAGCACCCTGCCCTTTTCGATACCTAGGGAGAACTCTGCTAGTATATTATGCAACAATCGAATAATGCACACATTATAATTTGTAAAAAGTTTAAATTATCAAAATGAAAACTTGGATATTTACTTGCATAACTCCACCATATTGTATAACAGTGCCAATCAATTTCTTATTTTCAGATTCATTTTGTTTCTTTTCCAGCTCTGCAGCATGCTAAAATAAAACATTTTGACTTTATAACAATCTAGAAAAATAATTAGGCTTCACTGAAATGCAGTGAAATACTATACAATTAAATATCTTTTGAGAGAGGAGTTTTGAAACTTGAGTTAGAGATTAAAAATTAATGCATCAGCAATAATCATTTTAATTTCAGCTATCAAAATAAACTTTTCTAAATATGTTGATAATATAATAAGAAAAATAGTTTAGTGAATTTTTAAAAAACATCATATGAAAAATTCATTAGTATACGACAAAGAAGCAATAAAAAGTATGAATTGCACTACTTTTGATCTTAACAAAAAATAGAATGAAGTCATCTGTTTCAAGGATCACAAGAAACACTTAAAATAAAAGCATAAAATTTCATTATTTTTTTCAGCAATAATGATTGCAAAGTTTTTTAAATGGGTTCATTATAAAAAAAAAAGTATAATAGAACTCAATTAAAATTGGCCCGCATTTAAAGAAATTGCTGTTCTAATGAGCAAAATGGTATGCTTTATATAGTGCAATGTACTCTTTTAGGGAGCAATGTTTTAACTTTTTCTCAGATTTAATGTGGGAAATAATTCTAAAAGCACAGAAAAGTTTTATGAAAAGAAAAAAAAAGCACACTACACTATTTTTTACATAGCACTTACGACACTTAGAATGATAACACTTGCTATTTTGGTCCATCAGTTGTACAAGCCATTAGCAAAGGGTTAAAACTTTTAAAGATAATTTGGAACATAATTATTGTAAATTAAAATAATCATTAGTTAAAGATATTGATAACAGAGAAAACCTTTCTAGAAAAGAGGAATGCCAATCACATTAATAATTAAATCAGCCCATTGCCTTGTTTCCATAAAATAAAGGAAGAGTTTCGAAAGAATTTGTATATCAGAAATGTGTCTAAGTGTTGCAAAAGCATTTCTGATTTTACAGTCACATGTAAGAAAAGTAATTACTGTGCTTATCTCTTCTTTCATACAGGCCCAAGACATTAAATTATAATAAAATTAAAGTAAAAAAAAAAATTTTTTTAATTGTGAGCAGAATTATAACATAATGATTTCAATAATTCAGCAAGATTAAATGTTCAATACATATTGAACACACACAACACTTATAAAAAAAAGGGTTGAAAAATATGAATATGTCAAGCAAGTTTAGTCCAATTAAATATTAAGGATCAAATTCAAATAAATAAGTTCAACATGCCAATATAACTGGTGATTATATCCAAATAAAGTGATTATAAAACTTTCTTGCAAAAATAAAATCTAATACTCATGAATGAAATAGAAAACTTATTTGTAAGTACACCAGATTTATTTAAAATACAAATTAAAATTTAGTAAAATGAGGATCTTACATGCAATTTCTTTAGGAGAACAGCATCGGTGGCACTTGTTGTACTCTGTTTGGCAGCCTTTAAAAACTGTTTCTGAGCAGAATATCTGCTCATAGGACACATTCGAAAAAGGCAATCTAAAATAAACACAATAACTCACGATCAGTTAAATGAACAAAGAAAATTATATAACATTTTCCATGATAAAAGCTATTATACAACTATTTGTAAATATTTTCATATTAAGTTTGAATATTTATTAAACTGATCGCTAGTTAATGTACAACAATTAACCAAAAAGGAGCCATTAACCATATCTTAAATAGAAAACTAATACAACCCTATGTTGTTGTTTTTAACAAATGTAGTCATAAATTGGCCCTTAACATAGTACTTTCTAATTTTTGTGGTACATTTTACAAAAAAGGTTGCTCATCTCTGTTTTTTGACATTTTTATAAGAACAACTTAACATTTTTCATTAATAGAACATTTTTCACTGAAGTAATTATTTCATTCGATGAAAGTACAGGCCTCATGAAGTCTAAGACTGTTCAATAATTTACCAAAGAACTTGATTATTTTTCTTTGAAAATCATGTTATCTTATTTATTTTTAGTTCAAATTTAAAATGTTACTATTAACTGTGAGCCACACTTTTTGCACTTTATTTAAATAGCTATTTATATAAAAAAATTACCAATATACATACTTTGTACTTTTAAAAAAAATAAAGAAATAAAAATAACTACTGACCCCGAAACTTCTTTGGTGGAGTTGCAAGATCTCCTGCATCTGGTTGGACGACGCATCTGTCATCTACTAAACTGAAAATTGAATATACACATATTGTTTAACATGGACAGAAATTAAAAGAATAAATTTTTTTAGAAAGCCAGAAAGAAAACATAAGAGTGTTTACTAACCCTAAAGTGCTCAAAAAGCCACTAACATTTCCTTCCGCATAGAGGGATACTATATCCCCAATATGCAAAAAACTTGCAGACCCCATATCAGCCATTGCATTTCAGCTGTATTTAACAGCCTACTTTGCAGTTCTGCAAATCTATCAAAAATTAAGAAGCATTAAAAATCAATTGTTTCAATATTTAGAAATAGCAATATCGACTAAAATTACATAAACTTAACACATTAAAAAAATAAGTAAACACTTTAAAGCATTTTAAAATAAAAGTTTCTAGGCAGAGTGCCAATTAAAAAAGTAAATAAGTTTTGTTGTATAAATAAAGAAAAAAAAAGAAGTTTAACATGTAACTTTGCATGAGAAAAACTAGCCATCTTTTTATGAAAACTGAAACTTTATTTATTTTAATAACTTCAAAATGAAAATGCAACAGAAAATTTTTTAAAAAACAATAATAGAAATAAATAACAACTACAAAATTTAATATTTATATTTCAAATATAGTTAGGATTTCTTCCAGAACACTGGGAAAAAGTTGCATGAAATGGAAAAAATAAAAATGACCAAAACAATTGTTTATTGATAAGTGTAAGGTCATCAATAGCTTTGGACTGTATAAAAGAGTTATAAGTAATGCTAGGCGACGTAATTTAAAAACAAACAATTTTATTAAAGGATGTGGCGATGGTTGGTTCAGCACCCTGCAGTTACATACAACTACTAAATCTACAACTACAACTTTTTTCCCTTGCACGTGTCACTTACCATGATTGGATTTAACAATAAGTATTAATAATAAATATTGAAAAGTAAGAATAGTTTAAATTTAAATGAATAAAAATTAATATCATTGCAAGAAAGTTGAAAGTTTTTTAAATTTATTTTCTTTTAAAAAATTAACTATTTTCTTATTTATTTTATCCTTATACAGAATTTTAAAATCTATAGGTATATATTACACGTAAGAGGTTTTCAGTATTCATACTTGAAGTTAAAAATCATGGCAGTAAAAAAATACTGTGCTATTTGTAATATAGAATTCAATATGTGATTTGTAAATGATAATAATCAGTAAATATTTCTCAAAATAATAAAAATTGACAGTTATAAAATTTGATTATTAGTTATATTTCACAGCTCTTTAAATAATTATTAAATTGTTACAACTATACCGTTTTACGCATAATTTTGAAGATACTATGGTTGTTTTACTTTCTTCAGAAACTGATTAAATGTATCAGGGTGCATAGCCAAATTATTCAACAAAAAATAAGCACCTATTAAGCACTGAAGAAATATTTTTAAGCACTTTAAAAAAGTATGATAATTAGACAGGGTTGCAAAGTTTTTGACAATTGACGGTTTTATCTTGTTTTAACCATCATGTCAAACAACATGTACTGCATCTTTCTGCATAATTCGAAGAGAAAATCAACATAGTAAAGGAAAAATCTCATTTTGGAAAAGGGAATATTAAGCACTTTTTAAAAACACTCAATAAAAAAAGCACCTTTAAGGCTTTTAAAAAACGGAAATAAGCACCTTTAAGCACTTTTTAAAAAAGCTACGCACCCGGTATTTTACTAAACAAGATTTCAAAAGGGTACTTGCAAGCGACGTCACACATGGGTGTTAAACCTTATAGGCTACTGAATTGTGGCATTCATTTCTGCCAGGTTTTGATAGACAATGAAGTTGAACAACCACTTGTCACATAACTTGGCTTGATGGTACCAAATTAAATCTGTTCTAAAAATTGATTTATAAATCACACCTAATAGGTGCGATATTAAGATGTTGACTTGTTTATACACAACCATCTAATTTCAGAAATTTCCTACTTCTCGAGTTACAGGTACCCAATTATAAACTATTTAAAAGAATTAGATCAATATTTGAAATTTCTATTTTAAAATTTGTTTTTTTTTTCTCCCTTTTTCTTCAAAAGGTTGGAGAAAACTTATTTCTTCTGGGGTAGTTTTTTAAATGTCAATCAAAAAATAAATATGCCATTGCTGATTGCATAACTACTACATAAAGAAAAATTAAATAAAGAATATAAAGACTTTAAAATATACCAAATATAGCAGAGTATTAGTCAAACTTTCAAAATTTTATGAAAATCAGGGGTTTAACTTCAGACAGCAATTAAACCAGAGAGTCGTTGAATGTGAAATATCCAAGCATAATACGCAATAATAGATAAAAATAACTTAGCCTCAATTTATCCCTTTCAAAAACAATTTTAATATGTTATGTACAACTAACTTTGCATTTTCTCTTATCATATCTTCTTGAAAACAATGGTTCTCTTAAGAAATAATAATTTAATTTATTTTGAAAAAAAGTATTAAGAAAAGTGAACATATTTAACCCAAGATTATTTCAAAAATTACAACGCAATGAAAACTTTTAAAACACGCTATAAAGCTACAAATTTAAAGATCCCAGAACATCAACCCTGTCGGATTCAATAACGTTGGCAGCGCCATCATACGGACCCCAATTTGCAATGGATTCTATTTCTTTCTCATCCACTGAGTTGCACAAAAGATTCTGTTCATCCCACCCAAAGAATTTGAAATTCCATACTTTTAAAAAAGATTTTACAATAGTATTTGTACCCATATTTATTATTTAACATACAAAGTTTATAGGAGCAGCACATATATTTCTTGTTTTATATAAATAAATAAAAAAATTATCTTGATTAACTGGTAGCCTCGCAGCATTGGATATTGCATCTTAATTTGAAAAGACGTCTGTCGGCATCTTTATTTGAAGGCAAATGTACATATGTAGATAGAAATGTAAAATGTTTTAAACTTGAGAAAATTTTGAAACTTAATAATTTTCTTATGTTTTTTAGTTGCAGAAATTTTTATGCTTCCTTCTTTCAATGGTCAACTTATACATTGACATATATACCAGAAATTTGCTAATTTTTAATCAAAAATACGAAGTCAACCTAAACAAAAGATCGAGTTATGCGCCAGAATATATGATAAGTTTTTCTTCATAAATTATTAAGTCATTTTAGAATACCAAAGAATTAAGATATGGAATATAAAAAAAATATATCAATGAAACTATGCTTTCAAGAATGAAATATGTGTAGAATTCAGAATAAAGCACTCACAAGAGGAAAACTCATAGCCACCTCCAGGATAACTGAAATATATTTCTTTCTTATTTATTCCACAAACAAAATGTTTAAAACTTCACTTGGTGAAACACAAAAATGTCTTACTTTTTATGTTATAGAATATAATTTAGGATCAACAATATGTATTCAGCTTATTTCGCATCTATATTAAACCAATCCTTTTAAAGACTAATTTTTATAACAATTTACAAGGATTTAATAAGATATTCTAGATTTAGCATTAGATTAAATACTAAGTTAAAATATTAAACATTTAACAAACTATCATCACTTGTAATTTTTGGATAATGATCAAGAAACACAATAATTATCCCTGGAACTTGAAAATAGGAAATTAAATTAACAAAGGCTGTTCATTTTAGACTGCCTAATCCAGTTTATGACTGCAATTATTTATCTTATAAATCAATAGCACTATTGCAAATTTGGATGTGAAAAATAAATCAATTCTGATCTCCAGAGAACTATCAAAAATCATTAGCTTTTGAGGTATATGTGTGATAAGAAGCATTTTTTATTTAAATTTTAATAGTTCATTCCCGATTTGGACAGCTTTTTGCACAATTAGGTAAGTGCTAAATTCGTAAAAAAATGGGATCAGGAAATAAAATTTTTGGAAGGAAATCAGTTGCAAACATCTTAACATAGAGGAATTATTCGCAAAAGAACGTTATTCTCAAAATTTCGATCGACAGTAAAACTAAACGTAAAAATTATATTTAAACTTGTTATCAGAAAGAAAATTCATATCTTTATTAACTAATCAAATTGATATTTATGATTGTTTTAATACTGATAAAAAAAAAATATAATAGCTGCACTTACCTTACATCGCATGATTTCTAATTTTATAAGTCAATAATTTTTAATAAAAACTATAAATTGTGTTATAAAATCAGGAGTTATAGTAGAGATCAAGGAACCCCGTTCATTAAAACTAATTTGGAATGTCGGATGCAATATTGCAAAAAAACAATGATTTGCATTCATATACAAACTGCTAGAGCATTAAATTAAAATTTATTAAAAAAATTAACACATAAATAAACTTTAAGAGATATTTAAATTTGTCTCTATTGCCAGATTTCAGAACCAAAAGTTTTAAGTTGGCCTTGATTTTTATCAGGACAAGTTAAACTTCATTGTAACCGTCAAAATTCCAATAGCAGTTAAATTTACGATCTAGATCAACTAGTAACCGCGCCAATGAAATAATGAACGATTTTAGCATGACGTCACGTACCTTAACAATCCATTCTGCAAATGTGAAATATTTCTTTCTGTATACGAGTTTTGAGTGATTTGCCATTGATTTCTATTTTGATAAGAATAAAACTGTTCGAGAAATCTAACTGCATGGCATCTTTTTATGACTGCGGTTCAACATAGGAAGAAAAAAAATAACAACAGGGTATTATTTTTCTCACCAATTTCACAGATAATAATAAATTAGCGAGATATTTTTAAAATACTTGCACTATACTTTGTTTGTTATTTAAAGTCTCATTCGTTTCTATTTTTTTGGAATCTTTATGAAAACTTTGATTTCATCCCGTTTCCCTTCAAAAATGCTGGATGGCAGCAAATCATTAATAAGCTATGACTTATTACTTGTGTGACATAGCTTACAAAATAAAATTACTCTACCGGTAGAAAACACATTGTAGCGTATCTACCACTACAAAATTACAATTACAATTCGCTAGTATATAAGACATGTTAACTTGATTCTATGAAGGGGTACTTTTTCATAGATGACGGTTGACATGATCTGTAACTTCCAGCCCCACATTGGTGACCTTCGGACGTGATGTGAACACGATGAATCGTTCACGTTTTAATATCAAGAGTTACCACTTAAGTGGTAACTCTTGATTTTAAAATGGCTTAAAAAAATGTAAATAGTAGTTTAAGTTTTTACAATTTATGGTGATGACTTTTACAAATCCAAGTTTTCGACAGCAATTATTATTGCTTTATTGCTTTTTGAGAACACAAAAAATTCTGATTTGTCATCCATATGTTCTTAATCTCGTGTCATACATACGCCAATAAGAGACTTATGATTCATATGGGCCATATAGTTTTCCAATACACACGTCTAATGGATTGCACGATTTTTTTAAAAAACAATGGTAGTCTTATCTGTCTTGCCGGGTGAAATTTCGGTAAAGTTGTCGGGATTCCTCCTATTTTATTTTGGTTCATGGCATCCGTACAGATCAGAAAAGTCATCCTCATTTGTCCAATTCATTTCATTTTTCTAAGCCCAAACAACTTCAAAAATTTTCTAAGTTCAAACATTTTCAAATATTCAAAATCGAAACAATTTGGAAAAAATGGGTATATAAGGAAAGTCAGAAGTTTGGACTTAAAAAACTTTTTAAATTGTCCAGATTTGGAAAATTACATCAAATTGGAAAAAAAAAATTCAAATTGTCTTCACCTGGAAAAATTTTTCATATTTGAAAAATTAATCGTCTATACTTAGGATAATTTTAAAATTTTCCTGACTTACAAAAATTATAAAGTTGTTTAAACTTAGGGAATTTTTGAAGCTCTTTAGCCTTAAAGAAATTTTGAAGGTCCAACGAATTTCCGACAGTTCAAACAGATATGACATTTTGACAGGAACAAAAAGTCAAATAATTTGAAAATTTTTCTCTAAGTCCAAAATTTGGCTTCCCCGTATATACCCGTTTTTTTCTCCAACTTAAAAAAGTTTCAAAGTTCAATTTCAAAAATTTTCTAAGTTAAAACAACTTCAAAATATTTCTAAGTCCGATTATATTGAAAATTTTTTGTGAAATTTTTTTTTAACTTGAAAAGAATTTCTAAGTCTAGACAATTTAAAAATTTTAGTAAGTACAATTTTTTTAACTTCAAGAAATTTACTAAGTTCAATAAACTTCAGAATATTTTAAAATGTAACCAAATTTAAAATTTTTCTAAGTACAAAAATTTTTTTTCCAATTTGAAAATTTTTCTAATTTTAATCAACTTCAAAAAAAATTTTGGGCTCAAATTCAGACCTTTTCTAAGTCAAAACTTCTGTTACTCCTTAGAAACCCGCTTTATTTTCCAACTTCAAAAATTTTCTTAGTTTAAACAACTTTAAAATATTTCTAAGTCCGAACAATTTAAAAAATGTTTTAAAAACATTTTTTTTTTCAATTTGAAATTTATTTATTTCTAAATCTAGACAATTTAAAAAATTTTCCAAGTATGTTTTTTTATATTCAAGAAATTTTCTATGCTTAAATAACTTCCGAAATCCAAACAATTTGAAAATTTTTCGAAGTCTAATCAGTTTGAAAATTTTTCTAAGTTCAAACTTCTCTTTCTTATTTATCCATTTTTTTTTCACTAACTTCAAAATATTCCAACAAATCCAAAAGTTTTCTTAGTCCAAACTTCTGTTGCTCCTTATATAATCATTTTTTTTTTATTTCAAGAAAATTTTTTTCCAAACAATTTCAAAAGTCTAACCTTCTGATACTCATATACCCGTTTCTTTTTAAATTCAACAAATTATTTTAAGTCCGAATAACTTTAAATATTTTCCAAGTACAAAAAAAAAATACAATTTATTTCTAAGTTCAAACATTTTGAAAATTTTTCTAAGTACGAAAAAATTCCTTTTCCAACTTGAAAAAATTGGAAAAACAATTCCAGAAAGTTGAAAAATTTTTCAAGTACAATTTCTTTTTAACTTCAAAAAATTCTCAAAGTTCAAACAACCTCGAAATATGTCTGAATCCAAATAATTTTAAAAAATTTTTACGTTCAAACAATTTGACAATTTTTCTAAGTACAAACAGTTTTTTTCAAATTTAAAAATTTCCTCAGTCAATTTAAAAAATTTTCTAAGAAAAATTAAAAAAAAATTTTTAAGAAAAATTTTAATTTTTTTTAAGAAATATTTAAAAAATTTTCAAAGAAAATTTTTTGTTTAATAATTTCTGATATTATTTGCAATTAGAAGAACTTCGATATTTTTTGGACTAAGAAATATTTTCAAATTGCTTGAACTTAAAAATTTTTTAAGTTGTTTGCACTTAAAAATCCTGAAACTGTTAATATAGCAAAATTCTGAAGTTGTTTGTACTTAGAAATATTTTTAGGTTTCTTAGACGTAATATTTTTAACCGTTTGAGGTATTGAAAAAACACTGTCGAAAAAACCCAAAACAGCGCAACAGCGCTTTCTCTAAATGAGTACGAAAAGCAGCGCTATCGATAGCAATTGTTTTATTTTAAAACGAGAAATACCAAGCAACGCGATAGCGCTTGTTTTATTTTGTGTCGAGAAATAACATGCAGCCCGATAGCGGTTTTTTTTTTTTTTTTTAAATTTCATGTCGAGAAATACCACGCTGCGTGATACCGCTTTCTTGTATTTGATAGGTGACGCATCTTTTTCTCATTGCTCTGTCGTATTTATTGCAGTTTGCGAAGTGATCGAACGTATTCTTGCGTAAGTCTTTCTAATTGGTAATAATTGTCTGTTTTAAAATGATTAGACGAAGCAACGCAAAAAAGTAAGTAAAAAATATATCTTGATTTGCTGTTTAACTTTTTCAAATTTGGTGTATCCCCAAAATGGTAGAATGAATCGAAATGGAAAATCTATGAGCATAATTACAAATCCATGTGATCACATTATTGACGACGATGACGACTACATTGTTCCTGTGAAGTGCTAAAGACAACGCATTTTGAGTACTTCAGAGGATAGCGATATTAAAATTTTTCATTTGTAATGTATTATTGCATTATCATAGTATTATTCTACCTATTGTAAAATGTACTATTTACGTTGACGACAATGATAGTTTGAATCATTTTCCTACAGCTAAATAAGATTCCGAAATTACAGCAGTTTTATGGCCTATTGAATTTATCGTCAATCAAAATTTCGATCACTTTCTGACTACATAGAGTCCTTAAATCTCTATAGCAGTCTTTTGGCAATACAAGCTTTAATTGTTTCCTGACCACTAAAAACAGAATTTATTGCCGTTTTATCACCAACTGAAACTTCGAATACATTTTGATATGAAAAAACAAAACTATGAACTTCGTTTTTCATGTGAAATAAAAAGGAAAAAAAAATCTTGTCTGACCTAAAACGTTAAACGAAGGGAGTATCTATTTAATAAACATAATTTTTAAATATTTTATTTTGCTTCATTATTTAAAATCTCTTAGTCACTATTTTTAATTTTTGCAAGCTGTTCCTTTCACTAATGTTCTACATTTAACAATGCTCTAGACAGACTAATTTCTCACTCTTTCATGTCTTGTAAATTAGCATATCTTTCTCCCAATTTAAAGCACTTTGAATCTTCATGGTTATGCATCCTGTCCATAGTCATTATAACAAAGCTTTAAGTAAAGAAACAGAAGTTTCTGAGAAATAAAGATGTGATTTTAACTTTGGAGTTCTCATATAGTTTGGAATAAAATGTCAAGTGTTAAATATGATGTGCTTAGCTTGCAAAATGGTACATAAACGAAATGAGCTGCTACCATTTTCATCTTTCTAAGTACCTTTTCAGAGACGAAAATGAACTTGAATAAATATTTTGATATTTTATTGAGAAATGAAAGGATTCCAAAGTAAATATATGCGTATTGCAACCATTTCTCCTCGGTTTCTGAGAATTTCAAGAGCATTATCTATGTCTTTATTTTATAAATGGTGCTATTTAGATAGAAATCGAACAACAAATGGCTTGAGAGAATAAAGACATATTGAATTGACATATTTAAAACGTGACTTTAATATATTCGGAATTTTCAATAGAAGGCTAGATGGGCGATGTCTTATTTTAATGTACTATGCTCTGTAAATTAATTATGACGGTGCTAAAATAATTGTTTTGTCGTTCGTATTGTTTGTCATTTCATGAATTCATAATGAATAACTGTGATTGAATGGTAAATCAAAATATTAATGTTTGATTATTCGCTACTGGAGAAAGAAATTGTAAACTTGTTTTTAAATTAGAATATCCGAAAATGTGTGGGGGGAAGGTGAGATTAGTCAAAGAAACTATATTTCACGTTCGAATTTGTGAAATTTGAAT